TTGCCTTCAGCATACTGTGAGCTGTTTTCCAGATATGCCCTCCTTCTCAAATCAATTCCGTGAAATAGCTGCAATGTTAATACAACAAGGGTATCGGAGACTATTCAAACACCAAACCAGATCTAGCTTGTGTGCTTCCTTCAGTTACCGTGCTTTGAGAGAACCACCAGGAAGAGAGGACTCCACAGTGTAGTTGGTTAGTGGGTCTGTGTTTTTGAGGCCCATGTTTTCTACACTTGGACTCTGGTGGATGAATAGCTCTGTTATTGAGATTCTGATAGGCTTGCTGCTGTCAAAAGAAAGGACCTCCATTTCATTCCCCAGCTGGATTCTTCTTTCTTCTTTATACTGGCTTCTTGGACCTCCAGTAACCTGGCACAATTCACCTATCCTGCCAGGAAATTGTGCACATACTTTTATCTTCAGGTTTTGGCCCAGTGAGTGTTCAGCTGGACCTAGTCTGATGAATAGGCTTTGTGCAGGGTTGGGTGAACACCAGTCCCTGTGCAAAAGAACACAGGTATGGGTGGGATAACATGGTGCAATCTGCAGCTCCCAAAATGGGCTCTGATGGCAGCCGTCCAGGTCCCATGTCCCTGTTCCCTGTTTCTAGCCAGGTTAACTAGTTTCCCTTGGTCCTGTTGCATTTACTAACTGGAATAACATGGGCATGTGATTAAACATGAGAGATTTCTCTTCTGGATGTAAAGCATAATACCACAATGTTGTCTTTGCCTGCCATGCACATGTTCTTTTTTTTTTTTTTTTTTTTTTTTTTTGGTAGGGCCCCCCCTTTCAGAGTACTGGCTTTCTCAGCTGTGTTGCATAAAGGCAACCTGCCTGACTGAAGACAGATTACATATGGGTCATTCTAGAGCCAATTGCCACTATTATTTTATTTGGCAAGGGGAGATGCTGGAAAAACTATTGCTTCCACATATTGTTAATCCTGTAGTAAAATGTCCAATTCTCTTATGTCTAGCAGTAGGGCGTCAGGGAGCTGTTCCCTTCCCTGTGGGATTTTCTAGTGGGATTTTAATTCCATGTGTTTTAGAGAAATACGATCTACCGCTGATAAGGTAATAGTTTCCTTCTGTTGAAGCAGACTGTAAAAATTTGGCAGGCCGTCTGGATAGCAGAGAGAAACATAACATCTTGACTATCTAATAAAAAAAAAATTGACATGCCTGCATATCCCATATGTCCCATGTATAATATATATCCCATGTATAATTAGGTGGGGTATGTGTAACAGTGTACCTTGAAAAGCTTTGTTTATTCCTTTGGTTAGAACTCGTTTCAAGGGCAGTAACGTAAGTCCTGACATTTTGGCTTTGAGTTGTTGTTTTGCCCAGATTCTTTACTCAGTCTAAGTGCATCAAACCTGGCTGGCAGTTAGCCAGGAAGATTGTATTTCATTAATAGCCGTATGATTAAAGCCAACGCAGCTTGATCTTTTACACTGCAAGCCTGTGATAATTTCAGTTCTCAGGAATGTCCTTGGTGGAGTGTGCCATCCTGCTATGTATGCTGTTCTGCCACTTCAGAACTAAAAACAGAAGGAGATTGATGGTTTATTAGTTTGTTTCTATGTACTTGCAGTAGTTAAATTAACGGGTTTTAAATCAAGATCTCTTAATAGAACTGAGTAATTTTGCTTCATAAGTAGTTTTGCCAAATGATGCTACAACCAAGTCAAATTAGGAACATACAGTGTGAGTAATTTCCCTCTCATCCCCTGCAATGTGCATTCTTTTACTAGAGTTTATTATGTTATGATTGAACAGAGAATGTTATAAAAAAAAGTGTGTTTGCTTTTAATAAATCTCCAGTCAGTGCTCTTGACGCATCCTGATGTACTACTCTTAGTTGTTTAAAGACCCATTTTAAGGATGTGCCTTTTGTTCACATCAAAGTGTATGCCACAGAAGGTATAGCAGCCAAAAGAAACAGTGAACTCTTGTATTTAGCTGTCTGGTGATTCCAAATGTTGGAGAGGTTGTGCCCAGGGGTGGTTTGTCTCTTGTCCGTTGCTGATGCTGGAAGTCCTGTTAGCGTTTTCTAGAACAGATACAACCATTGAGCTCTGTCTTGTGCTCATAATTACTGTGTACTCCTCACCTGACCAGAAGAAAGAACATCTCCCCATCTGTTTAGCCAGCAATCTGTTTCATCCATGACTTGTATCTACTTTAGATAAGGTTGTAAGGCATCCTGTTCTAGTCACTTGGTGGAAACATCTGTCTGTACTGAAAAAAGGAATGAGCCTCTCCAAAGTTCATTCTTATTTAACAGCTGATGAAGAATAAGAAATTGTTAGAATCTTATTTGTGGCTTGAATTTCACTCTGTAGTTCAAAGATGAAGGGTTTCCCATCTCGCTTCGGAACATTCAGCAAGCTGTTCCCTCTCTACCATGTACGAATACTTGATTTTGAAAGGAGAACTCAGCTTCTAAAAACAAAAAAACATAGGCTGTTGCAAGATGCATGTGCTCAGATGGATGTGCTTTTCAAAATGTAGTATTGCAATACCAGAGTTGTTACCCACAGTTCCATCTGTGTGTTGTTGTTGTGGTGGTATAGTTTTTTTTTCCCACCTGCGTGGTAAAGATGCTGTTTAAAATTCAGATGACTGAAGATGACGAATGGATAAGCATTTGGTGCAGTGCACAGGTACGTGTTTATATATATGAACAACTTGCCAAACAAGTGATTTAATTTTTGGGGTTTTCCACTTTGCAATATTTGAGAAGACATACCATGCAAAATAGTTGAGAAAGCTACCCCTGCCTGGGGAAAGCTGGCAGGAGTGTTAGTTCTGGGATAGCCATCATGAGATACCTACATGGACGGCTGTCTGAACTCAGTTTGCTGAAGAGACACATTATAAAATGTTGGGTCACCTTAGGATTGTTTATGACTATCTGAATAAAAGATATGAGGTCGTTTTATCATAGTGTTGTTTTGCATGTGCTGCTTTAAGAGGCAAAAAGAAAATGTTCGATTGTATTTGTCAGCAATAAAAAATCATCTGCTGTTGACCAGCTTTGTCCTTCTCTTGCAGTTGCAAGGACAGGGCATCTGTAGGCCACATTTTAGGACTCTGCAGGCAATGTTTGGTCTTTGGGCTGCATGTTGAGCAATCCTCACTTAAAACCTACAAGGCAATTACCTACAACATGCTCGAAGATGAGACCTTCCAATCTTGTACGATTATTTGGTGGCTGCTGGCTGGTTGCACTCTCAAAACACAATCACGTCGTTACATTCTTCCTAAAAAAACCCCCAACGTAACTGCATTTATCCTATTTGATCACTGACCCATGAGAATCCTGCTTCATGCTCTTCATCTGCTACACAAAAAAGGACACCTCTGGAAGCAGGCGCCTCTTACCTTGTGTAAATAACTGCGAGTGTGGAGGTGTGTTAAAGCACAATGGCAGTAAGTGGCCACAGACCGGGACATGTGTTGACTGTTTAGGAGAGAAAAGGTATTGATTTGCTTCTTTGTGCTCCTGATATCCTTGTGGAAAAGAGCAGGTGGCTGTAACACGGGTGTTTGGGTGTTTCTGTAGCTATAGTTAGTTTTTTGGGAGACCCTTCTTGTTGGGGTTACTGAAAAAACAACTGTATGTAAAGCTTCTCTACTTTAATCTTTTATGCACCACACTTGGCTTTATATGATTTGTAGTCTGCGCCCTTTTGCTGCATACATCCAAGAAATACCTTCCCAAGGAGAAATACAGAAGCTTGTCCTGTCTGTAAGCGGTAGAAACAGTACCCCTCAGCACAGGGGGTGCTCTTTGTGTGTTTGTCAAAGCATTAGTAGTTAGTAGCTGCCAGTTCAGGATTTTAGAGTTAGTTTTGTCAGAAGCTTCTTTTTATATCTATGTCTTTGGTTTATGTGACATTAGCACCAAGAAGAGCTTTTGAAAAACTAGCAGTTAGCCATTGTAGGAAATTGCTATTAAGCAGAACTTGTCCTTATCAGCTTTTGCACTTATAAAATCTGTTTTGAGAGAGTGCCTTCTCCCCAGGAGTGCAGTTCAGATACAGGTTAGAGCCATCAGGTTGGCTCTTTTCCTCCCATATCTTCAGCTACATGTTTCTGCCTTTTTTTTTTTTCCCCACATTAGTTCTCACAGTGAACCAATTCAGAGAATTAAATTGGCAGAAAATTTAAGCCAGAGAATGGCCTTTTCTTGTGCTTTTTTTGCCCCCCCTCCCTCCCTCTGTTCTCACCTACTTGGTTATATTTCCAGAGTAGTCAGTGGGAAGGAGATTCTTCAGAAAGGCAATTGGTCCCATGTATCTTAGGCATATCTGTCTTAAGTGGAATGACTTGCTGTCTGAGGGTACCCCTCTCCTGCTACTGACTGTAAATAAAACTGTGTTGTATCTTGGATCAGATGCCTAATAGTGATAGGAATAGAGGTGGGAGACGTGATCTCAAGAATTAATGTTCTGTTAGTTCAGTTACGGTGGAAAAGATAAACATAAAGACTGTTTCTGCAGAGGAACAGGAGAGAGATAACCACAATAAAACACGAATACATATGGCTGTAAAAATTAACAGAATGGGGGAGAGTATTTTGAAAAAATGTAATAGCTAAGATTACGTTTCATTTTTTTCCTTCAGAAATGCATTCAATTTGAAGATACCATTCTGAGACCTTTTATTGATCCTATTATTTCCAACCACTGGTATGCAAAAACTATGAGTGGAAAGTTTTTGGGTATTCTTAATTCAGTGTTGGGAGTGCAGGAATCCTCTACATACAGTGTTACATATTGTACTGTTTTGCAAGTGACCACTTGAATACTGTTTCTCTCACACGCTATTGTGGCAAAAAACTGATAAAACCAAGCACGTGCTTAATAACCAAAGTCAAGCTATGGCTCAGACTTGTAAAACTGAGGATTCTAAGCAAAGTAACAATTCAGCTGTGAAGACTTCAGCAAAAATACCTTTCAATTCTTCCTTTTCCCTTCTATAAAGAAACGACACAAATAGAAGATCCCAGGAAACAATGGAGGCAAGAACAAGAGAGAATGCTGAAAGATTATCTTATGGTAGCCCAGGATGCTCTCAGTACTCAGAAGGAACTTTACCAGGTGAAAGAACAGAGGCTAGCACTTGCACTGGATGAGTATGTACGGTTGAATGATGCCTACAAAGAAAAATCAAGCTCTCGTACAAGCTGTAAGTATAGTAGAAAATACAATGTAACCTCTTTGATCTGTGCCCTGCAGGTGATCCTGTTTCACGTTAGGATGGGTTTTCAAGGTTTGCTATGAACATCTTCTATTCTGGCTTTTTTAGAGATAGCATCTTTTTTTTTTTTTTTTTTTTTTTTAATATAAAGATATTCTGCTGGAAAGAACTCTCTCCTGTCTGATACAATTGAACTGCTTTGAGCCATGGTTTAGAGCAGTCTGCTCTGAACTCTGTTTTGTCACACAGTATGTCAGAACAAAATTCTACCAAATTTAGGTTCAAAGTAGACAGGATCTCCTGCACTTCATGGCTGCATACTGAAATGACTACCGGGTTGACAAGTACCTGCAGTGGACCAAAAAAGGAGTTTGCTGCTGCTTTACGCAGTAGTTTTACGCCATGTATGAATTAGGAGTGAAATAGAGATGCGTGTTACAATATTGGTCAAGGGATTGGCATGGTGAAGAGCTTTCAGAGGCCTGTATTTCTTTTGTTAGCCACTCTCTCAGAGGTGGATGCCCTCCAAGACTCTTAACCACCGCTGTATCCTTCCTTTTGGTGCTCTCTGATAGCTTTATGTTATGTTGTGGCATCCACAACTGCACCTAGTGCTCGAGGTAAGATCGTACCCCTTAATGATTGCAATGCTGCAGTGCTGACTATAACAGGATATAGATTTGCACAGTATCACAGCTTTTCTGTACTTTGTAGCTTTAGATCAATGTGGGTATGTCAAGGAAGAGACTGATTAATGATTTTTAAATGTTTAAATACTTTTCCTATTGTTTTTCTATCCTTATTATTTTTGAAGTATTCTCAGGCTCTTCATCAAGCACAAAGTATGACCCTGATATTTTGAAGGCTGAAATCTCCACTACAAGATTAAGGGTGAGAGTTCTTAATTCATACTCATTTGTATTCTGTATGTAGGGTTTCTGTCTATAGAATGCAAAGGTTGAAACAGCAGAAGTATCTTGCCACCCTGATACTGAAACCTCCTAATATTCTCATTAAATACCTAATATTCTCATTAAATTCTCATTCAAGGGCTTGTAATGAATTTTTAAATGAATTTTTAAAACTGTCTCAGCTAATTCTAGAGAATGCACTTTGGTGAAACTTTGACAGATAGTCTAGTAAGACGTGGATTTAAATAAATCTGTTATCTATTTTTACTTCTATGATTTTGCTTATAAAGAAAAAGTAAAAATAACTAGGTGAAAATAAAAAGGTAGTGGGCCAAAATGAGACAATCTAGATGATTGTACACAATCTTTCTTCCATGAGAAATGTGCCTTTAGCTACGTGAACTGCCTCACAAATTTCTGTTGGTTTAAAAAGCACTTTCTAGTGATGCTGTGAAAACTTGTAAAAGTCAAAACATTCAGATGAGGATCGGAAGTTTTTATTCACTTTGCGAAATCATTAACAAGCAAAAGTCTTTATGTGATCAACTTCTTCCAGTATGGTCACTAACGGACTCCGTGTAAAGAACTGTCACTCACAGGTTAGTTTCTAGTTAATTCATCTTGAATAAGGAGGAAACAGTGCAGAAGACCACATAAACCTACATAGGGAATTCATTTATTTAAGCTGTGGCATATGTTCATACATTCTCTATGGATAACCAGAACTTTCTGCAGTTAGGAATGACAAAAATCAGATCAAAACATGCAGGTTAAAAGGACAGAACCTCTGCGTGTAGTGCTTGAAGGGTGCTGGGATACAGATTCTGTGTGAGCAGAGGTGTCAGTTACTCAGCTCTTCCATTGCCCCCTCCTGGCTTCTGCACAGTGCAGCGCTCAGAAGCCTTCTGAGAATAACATCCTTCTTCACCTTAGTGTGAAGTTTAAGAGTCTAAAAAATTATTGTTTAAAAGGAATTGTGGAATAGCTCAATAACATTTTAAAACAATGTAAATCAGAGATGGAATACACTGTAAAACTGTTGTCCATTTGCTACCCTCCCTACTGCTTGCACAGCCTGTTCTTTTTTTAGAAATCTCAGTCTGTAACCCCTTATTTTTTAAGTAGAGGGGGAAGTCATCAGTAAGAAAGCCTATTTCAGCAGTGAGAATATTGGAGCAAAAATTTTGGAAGCTTTTGGAGTAGGATCTACAGCAATATGGACCCTGGCTGGGAATGAGAATGAAAACACAAGGCTAGAGCTTCTTTCTAAAATCAGCGCAGCAGTAGAAGATGGTTTTCCATTGGCAAGGGAATCGCTGGTATATTTAGGAAATGAAAGGTATTGTTGAAGAACAATGCATATGACCAAATGTAAATATAGTCTTCTAAGAGCCAGAGGAGAAAATTCAAATGCTTGTTTTTTCCAATACTTAAATCTAATAGCTCCCATCTTGAAATGCATCGATACTGAATTACCTCTTAGCTACAGATCTACACATTGTCCATTTGTCAAGGGAGAGGCAAATGTGTTAATCACAGCCGATCAGTTTCTGGAGTTTTTTTTCTCTTCATTGCTTGTCAGAGTCAAGGAGCCTAACATGCTGCTGGTTCTCAGTGCCTGATTTATTGGCATTGCAAAGTCCAAGTTGCATATGTGCCTAAAATAGGTGACCTGAATCTTGTCTGCAGACTTTAGAAGGGTGCAGTCCAAGAATATCTGTATCAGCATAAAGTGTGTTATCATCCAAACCCACTGGATTTGAGAGTCATTGAGATAAGAAAAAGTGGAGCCCTGTGATGCTAGGGCTGGAAAGTGGTTTTCAAGGAGGATGGCAAGAGAGGTATGACTGTATTATATCGTAGTTTACCCTTATTTGAATGTTTGAGGATGCTTTGCTAATATTCAGCCTTGTGGCATTCTGTAGTATATGCATGCATGGACTTAATGGGAAACAAAGTTAGTCATTAGCAAGCTGCTGGCCAACTAGTTAGAATTTGCACATTGATTAGTGAACCATTAGGGCAGATGTACTAAACCCGTTTCTCTCTGTCACACACGCTCACTGAGGTGTACTGGCATCATCAGGTTAATGGTAGCTGGGGGAAAAACTCAGCATTCAAGGAAGTTCTGAAGTAGCCTTTGGCCTTTTCCTTGTTAGCTGTGCTTAATATATGCATATGGCACCTTCTGGATACATGAGTTGCCTGTTCACAATTTGTCATGGAGAATATATGACAGAAATATGACAGTTTGAATGAAATAAGCAGGGACAAAAATTTGATATGGGATCAAAGATCATTTTATGCAAATGCAACAAGTAGGGGATGAGCCTTTATAAGATAACAGGAGTTTTTTCTGATGTTCTATTAGTGCTTGAGAACTGGGGATAGAAGGAGTTAGCACAGAAGCATGCCTGAAGAGAGAAGGAGGAAGCAAGAGGTCTGTCAGGTGGCTTAAGAAGATGCGCAGATGCGGTATGACGGGGGTGAAGGATAGGACGAGTGAAGAGTTGTGAAAAGTGGGATTGTAAAAGTTTTGAAGGAGAAGGGAAGGAACGGAACACAAGGATATTTTAATGCGACCTACAGTGCAGTAAACACAGTCTTTCTATTATCATGTATGTCACATCCTTCCATGGTAACCTAACTCACATTTCCTGATAATAAAATGATGATGAATTACGGCAGAGGACACTCAGAAGATGATCTTGAGGAAAATGTAAGGGCTTCAGAGAGATCCAACCCTCAAAGTTGGAAGCGAGTATGCCATCTGCAATTACAATAAATTCACATTTTGGATTAAGGAAAAGTGTAGTCATTCTTCATTTCTCAGCAAAGTTAAGGCTTTTTCATATTTCACATTACTTTACCTGAAACCCAGTAGTGATATCTGTTTGTTTTTTATAACCTTGCTTGGAATACTTGAGAAAGATTATTCCTGGAGTTAAAAAATTCTCATTTAGTTCTCTGTTCTTAACTGTAGGAAAGTGTCATGCTCGTTGGGGGAAAAAGTAGTTAAGGAAAGCTGAATGTGTTGTTAGGGACATTGCCACTTTATCATGCTAAATAATCTGTATCGTCAAAATAAAATCAGTTTTCTGTCAAGTGTAGCAGCTACTGATTGTAGTTTCTAAAAGCCTGAACCTAGCCCTAATTATCTAGTTAACAGATTTGCTTTGGAGAAAAAGGAGCTTGCAAGCAGCATTTTGTTTCTGTCAAAGAAAAGTCATTAGCCAGAACTTACAAACTTGAATGCCTAAGTATAAATCACAAATCTATATGTAGAAGCACATATGAAGCATTTTAAGTCTCTTGGAAAGCTCCAGCAGTTGCCTGTGCTTCCTACTCTTGGTTTCCTGGCACGTTGGGTATTACACTTCTTGGTTTAAATAATAGGACAAAGATTGGCAACCTAAGAAGTGGCTGCAAAAAGTCTTGGAACCATAATTTTAAAATCATTTTCAGTTGAAGTGGTCACAATTCTTTATTTTAATATACTCAATTTTCAAGATGGAGTTGAGTGTCTGAAGACCTACCTAAAAACTTCGAGCATTTCAGGGTGGTAGTGAGAGCAGAAGACTTCTTGTGGGCTTTTCCTTTTTTCACCTTGCTGATTGGGAAGCGAGGGAAAAAAATCTGGCTATTATCTGGCATGCAAATCAACAGATGTTGGTGTGTAAATACTAACGTTTGGGACTCCACATTTCAGGTACACTTTTTCTGCTTGTGCTAAGGATGAATTTTAGTTTCTGTTAGAAGTACACTGCTAATTCAGTCCAGAAACTTTTAGTATGTTTGGAAATTGTCACACCAAAAACAACAAAAACAACAAACAAATAGCCAAACCTCAATTTAATTTCATCTTAATTCATAAGTATTTTATATTGAATATCAATATTAATGTTAAAAAGCATGTGAGCATGGAAATTTAGGGAAAATAGGGAACGTTTTCCCAAAGACTGTTCTATTAAGTAAATGCATGTACTTGTGATCCAAATGTATTTAATTATTGTTGCTTTTGTGAATGTGAACTACGTATTTTGGGATCCAATGCCTGAAAAGCTTTATGAGAAAGGATAATTCATAGAAAAAAAGCAGAGTCCAGACTTTGTTTTTACTATGTAAATGACTTAAGAGCTTCCTGGAATGAAAATGTGAAAATACAGTAAGCTTAAAAATAAGCAGGAATGTCCCTGTAGGACAGTTGGAATGCATGCTTAACAAGGAGAAGTAAATTACTTGCTAAAGTTCTCTCAGGTTTAATAACACAGTGTGGTATCAATACAAATAAGGAATGTGATTTAATCTGCTTGTGTCTCTTTAATACTAAAGCATGTTGCCCATAGACGTAAAGAAGAGAACTGATCTTTCTGTTTTTAATGTGTGTCAGTAGAGCAATTTACTCTTTCTTTATTTTCCTCACCCGAGGTAGAGTATGTTAATTGTTCGAAGCCGTGCGTTGTGCTGTTTGAGGAGGAATTTTCTAAGTCTTGCTTTGATTTAACACAAGGTTAAGAAGCTGAAGAGGGAGCTCTCTCAGATGAAGCAGGAGCTGCTGTACAAGGAGCAGGGCTTTGAAACACTGCAACAGTGAGTAATAAAAAAAACAGATGAAGTTGACTTAATTCAGTTGTATGAACTTTTTTTTTGGTCGCAGAAGTGAATACATCTTATGTGAGATTATTATGGGAAACGTGAGAATCTACAACTCCTTCTGTTGAAGTTAAAGAGCAGGAAATCTGTAGAAATAGCAAACCTATTGTGCAAGTGTTAACATGAGAAATCTGTTCCTCCTACTTTTTCCACGAAAGAGCTTGGTTGCAAAGAGGCAAAAGGAAAGTCAGTGGTTAAGGGTTCCTAGGAGAATTTAGCTGCTTCGCATGTCCCATTTAACAAAACAAGCAAACAGAAAAAAACACCCTAAAAACTGAAGGAAGTGATTAGGTCTGTCTTTCTTTCTTCCCCACATCTGCACTCAAAGAGAAAGAGGAGGATGCTGGTCTCAGAGGTATAAATGGGGGCAGAACTGTGCCAGGTTTGAAATGAGTCACAATTTGAGTGTTGGAGACCTGACTTTCTTTGTTCCAGCTGCTGTGATGCCTGGGCTGCAAAGGGCTGAGCTAGGGGCGCATTTCGGGTATCTAAGTTGGATTATTAGAAACCCATTTATTTATGTATTAATTTATTTATTTTCAGTCTGAGCAGTCTGTGCTGCCCCTGACTTTGTTGGGCCCTAAAATAGTAATAGATCAGTTTTGTACAGAAGGATTCTATCTGTCTGTCTGTCTATCTATCTATCTATCTATCTATCTATCCATCCATCCATCCATTCATTCATTCATTCATTCATTTGAATGCAGAGAAAGAAATTCTAGTCCAGGAAAACGATGAATAAAAATCATAGGATCACAGAATGGCCTGGGTTGAAAAGGACCACAATGATCATCTGGTTTCAACCCCCTGCTGTATGCAGGGCTGCCAACCACCAGACCAGGCTGCCCAGAGCCACATCCAGCCTGGCCTTTTCCATCTCCAGGGATGGGGCAATCACAGCCTCCTTGGGCAACCTGTTCCAGTGTGTCACCACCTTCTGTGTGAAAAACTTCCTCCTAATATCTAACCTAAACCTCCTGTCTCAGTGTTCTATCATAGTTACAGACTTGTCCAAATGGAGCAAATCTTTTTTTGTTATTCTTGTTTTTAAAAACAAGAGCATGAAGTAGATTGGGAACTGAAGCCCTTCAGCACCTTAGGAGGATGCCAGTGACATCACTGTCTTCTTTCATTTTAACTAAGGCAGAAATGTGAGATTTTGTTATTTAAATACATAAAGGCTAGACTGGAGTGAGGGGAGAAAAAGATAACTGATTGAATTTATTTAAACATGAATTGGATTTCAAAGCAAAGTTTAGAAGAGAAAGACATATTGGTTCTAAAGCTGAAGGTAATAAAAACTCACGCTGCTGTCCAAAGATTAAAGGTTAGCCAATCATGCTGGTTTTATTATATTAATTCAACAATGAAGTATTGTTTTAAAGCAGCTTGCTCACAGGCCATTTCGATAGGAATCCAAAGCATGTTTCAGAAACTGTCAACAGCATTCCACAGGAATACAATGGGCGTTTGTTTTAAAAAATTCAGTCAGCCGCTTTTGAACAGCACTAATCCCATTAATTTAAAACAGGGAGAAGGAATATTGTATATGTCAGAGATCCTTCTTGTCTATCTTAATTATATATAGAATAAAGCAGTTGCAATTTGAATATGGCACGGTGTGTTAGTAGGCAGCGTGTGGTGTATTTATTACCCAAGCGTTCATTCATGACTGCAATTGTTGGCATATCCTGTATCTGTCTGACCTTGGCAACTTGGTGTAGGTTACCAGAAATTGAGTGCTGTCAGAGAGTAGGTGTGTGCATACTTATGAAAGAGTTTGGGGAACTTTCAAGTTGAAACAAATACATCCTTGAGTAGGAATCTGAGTGCAGAGTCATGTTTTTCACACAAATTTGGTTCTGTTTTGCAGAAAAGCTGAAATGTGGGGAAAGGAAAAAAGTTACTCTCGTATCTCTAATGACTGCTTTAGAATGTTGATATATTTGTGCACAAAATTAAAAGAAAAATAGAATACTTTGTTTCAGGGGTTTTGTGCTCTTGCTCAATTGTTCATTCCTCACTCACAAGGTTAATGTCTTGTAGAAGGATGATGGCTGATGATAAAAACAGAAAACCAACTGTACGATAAAGGAATGTATTCTCTAGTAGATGGTGAAGATGCCTGTTTTTAATTTTGTGAAGCACAGCTGCAGCCATTTGTACAGTGCTATAAAATATTCAGTTAACACATTTCTTCAACCTGTAGTTTTACAAACTCAATTTTTTGAAGCCAATATGTAAAAAACAAAATGAAAAACAGTTGTCTCCAATGTTATTTTTAAGTTATTATTTTAAAAAAATTATTGATATTCCAGTAGTTCAGTAATTATCCAGTGTATGACAGATGTTATAAATTGTCCATAGATTCAGTGAGTAAAGAGAGCCTGATGACTGGGTGAGTGCAGCAGCTGCACGAGGTGGTTAGTTCTTAGGATTAGGGTAAGCAAGATGGAAGCTGAGGGAAGAGTATGGTTACATGTTTTCTCTGCAAGAACGGTCAGTACCTACAAGCTTGGTTGTCTGGATGCCACATTGTGGGTCTGGATAGAGGAATACTGCCCGTAATATATTCTGCTTCTCTAAGTACTGCAAATAGCTGAAATAATAGCTATTAGCTAATAGCTAAAGCCGAACCCCAAAGTTGCTCCTGCATTGCGGAGGGTTAGGGTGGGCATAGGATTTTTTTATCATGTTGACAGCACTATGTTGTACTCCTGGTAGCACATGTAAGAGTACTGCTTCAGGTAGTGCTCTGTGCCTCGCATGTCTTTAAGACTGAATCAGTGGTTTTAATGCCAACATGCTTTTTTCCTTTTCAAAAAATTTCCTGTGTCAGCAAAACCCATCACTGTGTGTGTGTCCGATAGCTTGACATTTTTGCCACACAGAAAGTATTTTAATGCAGGTTTCAGTGTCCTTTTTCTCTTTGTTTGTCTGCTAAAGGAAATATTATCAGTTACTCTTGCCCTTCTGTCCTAACTATGCTTGTCTGAAACAGAACAGCAGAGATGTTAACATTATTTGCAGTATGCAGTATTAATATGCTCTTCTTTCCACAGAATTGACCAAAAAATGTCTGGAGGCCAGAGTGGGTATGAACTATGTGAGGCTAAAGCCATCCTGAGTGAACTGAAATCCATCAGAAAGGCGATAAGTTCAGGAGAGAGAGAAAAACAAGATTTAATGAAGGTATTTTCTAGGGTTAGCATAAGTTTTGTGTGGATTTGTTTCATCAGAAGGAACTTTAATGATGCTAAATACTGTACATTTTATACTTTTTAAGGGATTTTCAAAACCATGTGCCAAACTAGTGTTAAAATCTGTTTTGTGATGCAGAAACTGAAGCTTGTGACTTTCCTAATTCAAAAAGTCCCTGAATGGCAGTCAGAATACAGGTATCTGAACTTGTTGGTAATGTTGCATATTACCTCTATAACACTATTTAAAATATTATGTGGGTGAAACTTGAGATAACCATTTTCTAAATGGGCACAAGTTCTACAAATTGCTCTGCATTTGTATCTGAAAGTAGATTACTTATTTATTTATTTTGCATCAACCAAATATTTGATTGGTTTATAAAGACAAGCAAGGGAGAGAGAGGCAACAAGAACCAGAATGATGTGATTGTACTCAGTGTCACTTAAGAACTACTTGATTAAAAGGATGGTTTTCTAACATGAAGAAAAATACATACATATATATATTGGAGTCTTCTAGATAAGTATCTTCTGAATAGAAACCAATATGAACTCTGTAAAGTATCACAGATTCACAGAATGACTGGGGTTGGAGGGGGACCTCTGGGGATCATCTAGTGCAACTCCTTGCTAAAGCAGCTTCCCTAGAGAACTTGTACAAAAGTACAGTTTAACACCATCTTGTTCTGTTTCCTGGACAGAGTCTTGCAAAACTGAAAGAGAAATTCAATCTTGACCAGAATATTGGGACATCGGAACCAGACCTGAGTTCCAGCTCTGTAAATTCCCAGCTGTGTTTTTCTAGACAAACTCTGGATGCAGGGTCTCAGACTGACATTTCTGGTGAGGTGAGCCTTTTCATTTTGTCAAACGTAAAGAGAAATTGAATCAGAATGCTGTGGTTAATGGAATTGGCTGTTACAAACGGCTGTTTACTGTTGCTGATAGGTGTTATATATATGCACATTTAAGAGAAAATTACTTAGAATCAGTCATCTGATTTTCCACTTCAAATTTAAATCAGGATTCAGATGAAGTTTTCACATTTGGCATGAAGCATTTATGCCAATCTGATTTAATCAAGTAGTTCCAGTACAGTGAAGAAGAATGTAAGTAAATAGTATTTTTTGGATCCATCTATGTGGATGTTGTACCTTACAGACTTACTTTGATCTGAAAGTGTCTTTAATTTTCAGAAACAAGATCTCAGAATTTAACTGTGCAGTTTCATTTCCACAGCTGAAAAAACATAAGGGAAGTATCTCTTCAGTGATTCATTAATAATTTCTCTGTGTCAGTGATGGTATATTTACAGTGACAGAAAGCTGTGCTTAATTTTGGCACCTTCTTTATACTTCTGTGTGCTAAATTTATAAGGAAGAGCTTGTACTAGGTTTTCCAAGCAGAGGAAAATTTGCCTACAGATGGTAGCTTTCTTTTTTTTCTTTTTTTTCTTTTTTTCTTTTTTTTTTTTAAGTCTGAAGTCGTGCCCTGGAATTGCACCTATTTACCCCTGAATTTTGAGTTCAGTGGGAGTTTGAAGTGGATCAAAATTTTGTGTTTCAGTCAATGCAAGACCTCTCTGAAAACGTCCGCAATTTATTCTGCTGGAATATGGCAGTACAGCAATTAAACGCAGATAAAGAGCATGAGAAGAAAACAGCCCTGAGTATATTACTAACTGTGGATATAATAGTGAGCGTATGGCCCACGCGGGCGTCGTTCCATTTTTTTAAGAAGTAATGTTTCTAGCCTGGGCATTTGTTGATATATACTGTTGATTTGTTTTACAGTTTTGCACAGTGTTGAGGCTAATATTTTTTTCAATAGGTTGGAACAAGAAGTAGATCCAATTTAGCAGAGAAGGTCAGACTAAGTCTTCAATATGAAGAGGCAAAGAGAAGGTAATGGGGTTAGTCGCTTTGTTAAATTACAGTCTTGAGTCGGGCATTTTCTCCAATGCTAACATTGTGCTCGCAGTGACATCTAGTGGACGCCCCTGTGCACGCGCTGGAGGCATTACTGCAAAACGTTTCTTTCTCTCCTGAAAGCAAAGCAGGCTTTTGCTTTTGAGCAGTAGTTTTTACATGTGATGTTAAGTTACGTAAGTCAAGAAATGAAATGAAAAGTTATAATATCAGTTCCAGGATTGTGGAAATAGAGTGAAAGGGTGTTCGAATGAAAGGCTGCCAGGCTATTTACTTCCATTTAAATTCTTCTGTGGGGTCATCATTTCAGTTTAGTATGCAACTGATGGTTCTTCAGGTATAATGCTTCAGAGTTCCACTTCAGATTTTGTAGGCTCAATTATCTCTTTTTTTAATCTTTTATCTGGGACTCAGAATCATAGAATGGCTTGGGTTGGAAGGGATGCTAAAGATCATCAAGCTTCAATCCCCTGCCATGGGCAGGGCTGCCAACCACTAGATCAGGCTGCCCAGGGACCACCCAGCCTTGACTTAGAATAATTTAAATACTTGTTTTCACTGTGAGATTATTTTTTAATAGCCTGGGGAGACAGGAAATCAGGAACTGCCCCACTGATGAATGTGAAATGTCTTTCAAATAAGGTTCTGCAGTGGTTGCTCTTGAAAGCAGTGCTGTTTTGATGGATTGCCACAGCACTGAAGAATAGGCATCAGAAAGCAGGACATTCTGGGTTACAGTAACATATATTCTGGTACAGCAGAGGAGTAGTGCTGCATAATACTGGGGAAGGCTTACATTATTTAAACAAATAAATTGCATGTCAGCTATTCAGAAGCCATACAGCTTTTGTTATGTAATTTAAGAGAAATATAAGTCTAGAAAGTTATCTCACACCCCAGGCTCCTTTTTTTTATATTAAAAAAGATGACAATAAAGGAAGAACTAATACTTTTCCATAGTTGAAAATTGTACCTATAATGAGACTTGCTTTGTGACTTAATTATTAATTCACTTAGAATACTGTGGCATGATCAATTAGAAAACCAGGAAGAGAATTTTTAGCTTATAAGGACAATGTAACAGCTTAAATAGTTTTAATGTTTTAAAGATGAGAGGCTGCACAGTCACTTTCCAAAATCCGGATGTATATTCTTTATGCAATAGTAGTTGCCATTCTTGCTGGAAACAACAGTAATCTTTTCTATCATCTTTATGGATCATAAAACTTTGTTATATAATCAATGCAATTGATTAAGAGCGATAAAACTATTGTGTTTCTTCAGCATTGAACTTGCATGATTTCAGCTCAAAGTCATTGTGTATATAGTACTGTCAGATGGTTTTCTAGATTTATATAGATGGCACTTGCTCTCAATTTCCTTTTATCCGAAACCAGATTATCCTCTGTTGTGACTGTATTGATACCAAGAAGTCCCACCGTCGTGTTTTGTTTCTCATTTGGAACAAAAAGGTACTCTGGCAGTAATCAGTGTACCACTTCTAGCTATTAGAAAAGCATGGCTTTTGGACTCTGAACAACTGCAGCGTAAAATCTTACTTTCTCACAAATTAACCAAGAAGATGAGTCAAAATTGCAGTAGATGAAATACTTAATCTTTGCATAACCACGTATTTCATCTGTATGACATCAGTGTGTTCTAATGTTAAATTACTTTTTTAAATGGTGTCTTCATTCAATTTTGTCTAAAAGTCCAAATAATGAATATTCCTTTGCACTTTAAATAAGACAGTCAGATTTCTTGAAGACACAGCTAAAGTCATTGAAGTGTTGGAGCATACTGTTTTTACTAGTTATTATTGGGCAAACTTAATAAAGCATGCATATCTTAGAATAATGAAGATACATACCAGTAATTATTATGGCCACTGTAAGCTAGTAAGTATTGACCATCTTTTCTGAAATATTAAATGTGCAAGTTCAAAGTTGCCTTATATTTAAAAAAAAACAAAAGCAACAGCAACAACAACAACAACAAAAAACACAAAACCATTATCAACAACAACAAAAGATCTAATGAATGAACTTCTCTATTTGGAAATTATCAGATAGTTTTGCATTGCGCGTTTTATGTTGTTTAGTTAGCAAAGCCTCTTGAAGTGGTAGAATGTTGCCTTGGGTTTTTGAGGACAGTATAAAGTTATGTGGCATGAACGTTTATGTTGCTTAAATAAGTGGAAGCTACTGACTTTGACAAAATAAAGAATTGGATGAATTTAGAGTTTGTCAGCTGTGTGAAATCCACTGTCAGGCTGCAGTTGCTAGTCAGAAGGGTCTGATATTTTACGCTGACAATCATATCCTGATGTGGTGAAACTCCAGCTACGTGCCTTATTGACTTGCTGAGCAAAGACTATCTTAAAAGTGTGAAAGCAGTTTTGTTTTCATATCCATGTAGTCCTTTGCCTTTCTTGATGAGGCAGCACACAAAAAATGTCAGAACAGCAGAGAGTTATCTGTAGCAGAGGGGACAAAAGAATTGTTAGGAGGCCACTGTCCCATTCCTTAGGCCATCAAACAGCTGTCACTAGCAGCTACTTTCAGAACAAGGCCAGCAGGAATCAGTGACCTGGAGATGAAAATCTTAACACCTTATCCATCTGAAATGATTCCCTTGTTTTCCTCTGTGTACAGCTCCTCTAAAGGACTGCTGAATATAAATTATATATATTTATATAACAGCTGCAAAGTATGTTGAAATGCTTCATTTCATTTCACCCTATCGTTTGTTTACGGTAACACTGCTGATTGTATTTCAATTTGACTTATTTTGCATTGTTTTTCATAAAATCACTCAGAATTACACATGTTCTTGCAGCAATTTGGCAGGTGTTCTTTTTTATTCTGGCTCTTTTTTAAAGCTGTTTTTTTTTTTTTTTAATTGAGATGCAGGTGAGAAGGAAATGGTACCTATGGAAAAAAAAAGAAGAGCTTGCCCTTAAGCTTCTGGTCTAAGCAGTGAGATAGTTAGATTTAATAGTAACTGTTCTTAGCTTTTATCGTAACTAAATGCCGTAATGTACTGTAAATTAATTATCGAGATGCAAAATAAGAATGATATTATTAGTTTTGTTAATTGCAGAAAACAGACTGGAAGGAAGAAGTGTGTTTTCCTAGAAATCTGTCAGGACAGTGGAAAGATTATACAGACCAAATGATGCATGTGTGGTTGATGCAGAATGGTCATTACTGAGGTAGTGCCTGCTAATGCTGAAGTTGCACAGACTTGTGTCAGCTGGTGAGCTAACTTAGGTGTATCTGCTATGATAGGAATCAGTAAAAGCAACAGATAAGGTTTTCTTGCCCTAGAATGGGAATGGCCTTCTATTCTGACTTTTCCTTTCTCTGCCTTTTTCCCAGCCTACAACAAAGAAGTGCAGTAAGCTAGGAGCTGTTACAGAGTTCAGAGCTTCCACAGTTTTATGCAGCTGTTTCAGGTGCAGATAAGGCTGGAAGTGACTGAAAGTTATCATCTGGATAGATATGTGAAACGTATATTGGGGAACTGTTATGTTTTACATAGTTCCCAATGGACAATGAGTCTATTCCAAAACTACCCTTTATAAGCTGCACAGTTGAGCCCAACAACAAATGGTTCTGGTGACTAATTACTGGAAATAATCTTTCTTGATTAGGACTGAGCAATCGCACAGTAATAATGTAGGGAGGTTTCTGCTACTGCTGTGTGTGTTATCTGCATGGATAACCAGGTCTCGGGTATCCTAACTCTGTGACTGGACATCTACAGTGGGAATAGCAGTTGCACAAGCTTCTAAGTTATTCATCTACTTTTATTTTAGGTGGCCACTGTCATATTGCCTTTTTTTTTAATCACAGAGGGGAACATTGTTTTTGTCTCTTAAAATTTGCATGTGTACTTGATGCAACACTGAGCACCTTGATATTCTGCATATTCTTTAACAATGTTCCTCACTGTTAGAGGAGCTGAATAGTCTCCCACAGCTTAGAAGAAATAGACAAACTCCTTGACGACTAAAGCAAAGTATCGCCACTACGTGACCAGACAGATCACTTTCAATAAAGCTTTGATTAAAGTCAAGACTTTTAATTCAACTCAGGATTTGAGCAAGAGAAACTCATTTCTAGTGTATTTGGGTATCGACGTCTGTTTTAGCATTCTTCCATATATGAGACATGTGAATTTAGGGCACCGTAGCTTGAAAGTTTGCTGTTAGTTGCTTTGTGCTTCTCAGAATACATTCTTCCAAGGTGTCTGAAGCAGAGAAGAGTACACGGCCTGTTGGCCTGGATAGGTGGCTTGCATTTCTGGAAAAGTTGCATTCTTGTCAAGTAAAGGTAATTAAAAGCACGGGTTTAAATAGAAAAAGCTGTTCTGTACTTACACCTTCAAAATGTTGCATCACTTCTATCTTTCATGGAAATTACGTGCTGTGCTAGGCTCAGGCAAATCTGCTGTGTTTTATTTTAGCATGGCTAACTTGAAGATCGAACTGTCTAAGTTAGATAGTGAGGCCTGGCCTGGGGCACTGGATGTGGAAAAGGAAAAATTGATGCTAATCAATGAAAAAGAAGAGCTTTTAAAAGAACTCCAGTTTATCACACCACGCAAACGTACTCAAGATGAGCTAGAGCAGCTGGAAGCAGAAAGAAGGAGGCTTGAAGAAGAGCTGCACTCTGTAAAAAGCGAACCCAGTCAAGCACTTGCTGAAAGGTAAGGGATTGTTTTTGCTGATACTAAGTGCCACTTTCTGCAGTCTAACCTTTGTACTCATTACAGGCCGTGAACTGTGCCTTGACGGGCTGTTTTCCTTCAGTAACTGTTCTATGTAGATCTTAATTAAATTTGTTATTAGCCCACTGGGCAGAAAAACAAAGGATTCTTCTGTACTCAGAGAGAATTTGAACACCCTGTATGTGCTGTCAATATCAGTCGCTCTGTGTTTGTTACCAGCATGAAAATGCCTGGCAGATGTTAAATAACTGAGAAATGTCAGCGTACCAGCAGGAGGGCAATACATCATTCACTGATTTCTGATAATATGTGTAAACTATTTGAACTCAGGTTACAAAGATTATCTTGATTGTTGCAACATCAGAAGCCCTTTTTTGTGAGTTTTTTTAGTTGCAAAAATGCAACCAAAAGACAAAAAAATGGGAGACGAGGGGGGAGGAGTAAAAATTAAACTTTCCTAACTTTTCACTTCCTAACTGTTAACCAAAGCAACTTCCACCATAGATGAGGATTAGCCAGGTTAAGAGGTGGAGAAAATCAAAGATGACTGCCACAAGTGGACTTTCCATTAACTGTAAGTGGAAGTAAATCTATGGGAACCTCTAGCTCACATAAAAAGCCAATAAGCACAAAATGTTGCCTGTCTTACTGAAGTAATACAATCAGCATTGTAAGACTGCTAGGAAAACACTCACTATTGCACCATTGTTGCTGGATGGTGAAATTCCTGTTGGTGGCCTTAAAGGTTGGCTCCTAAATTTTAGATGAGCAATGAGGAAATTTTTTATTGTCTACGCAAGAAACGTGTGAGTAAGGCATGATTTTTAAGCATATTTGTGTACAGTTGAACATTTTTAAACTACATTATATTGAGAATTCAGAGTGTTTTAGAAGAAGGGTTGTGTCTTACTACTACAATTGTACAAGAGAAAAGTGTTGATAGTATCTAAATTACTGCGGATTCGTTGCTTTCTGACTTCCATCGATAAATAGGCAATAAGGGGTTCGTAATAAATTCACATAGGCAAATAAATGTGAACCTAAGGTTTTTATAATAATGCCATTGTAAGTGTGTTGGTACCAAAGACAATTCTGACATAACATTTTTCCCATACATGTCAGATGCCAAACTTGGGCGTCTGACATGCCAAGGACAAATAAAATTTTCTCCCATTCAAGAAAAGCATATGGCTAATTGCATCAGATCAAACATTAGCATTTCATTTCTTTCTAGGTCCCATTACTGGTGGAGGAGATACACCATCTTTAAAGCACAGCGCTATCATTGCATTACTATTTTATTTCGTGAAGTTTCATGAATACCTTATGTTTCCATTGTTTTGCTGCTACTGTTAATGAAATAAAAGTGTAAGAAGCTATAGATTGCCAAGAGCTCGATATGACAAGTTGTTTTTCCTTTTTTAAGGTTCTGTGTTTGTTTGTTCATTTTTTAAAGGGAGAGAATAAACAGGAGGCTTGCTCTGGCTTAAAAACATGGTTGGTGTAGCCCTGGGTTATGCTGTATGCTGAAACTGCCACTGGTAGATGTACTTGGAGTCAGTTTGCAGATAGAGGGCATAAATCATAACTTATCAGCTTCAAAAAAGCAGAGACAGGGTACAGTCTCACTGCTTGAAGGAGCCTTCCAGCAGCTGTTCAGAAGTATCTGGATTGTGGGGCTGCTAAGAACTGCTTGCTGCTTTCTTGTCTCTGCATTCATTTTAGGGAGATTCCATTAACTTCTTGAGTCCTCAGCAAAGTATTCTCAGTAATCATAGGCATTAAGTTAGAGGGATGGTTGTGCTTTTGCCTGTAAAACTGACCCTTACTCTTATATCTCGTAAACAAATACATCCACATAAATTTCCACCTGAAGAAGGTGAAGTGTGTGTAATTTAAGTTTCTTTATTAGTTATTATTATTTTTTAAGATTCTATGCCTCTGAGTGTTATAATTTCTGATCAAAACTGGGAAAAGGTGTCTTGCTAAGACATCACGCCTGCAATGAGTATTAGACTTGTTGGGATGGGAGGGTTGCAACTGGAGTTTGTCCTGTTGATGGTTTGAGTGCTCATGTGGTCTTTGGCATGTTAAAGATCATGCCTGTGCTATAAGTTCAGAAACTTTAAAAGTTTTGAATTTGGCCCAGTATGGAAGGGGAAAAAATAATTTCTTGTGGAATGTGAAATGTTGTGAATTTGTGTAACTCACGAAAGAGTTAATGAAGAGCACTGTTGCTTGAGGAAAGCGGGATGGATTACGCTTTAAAAGAAGGCAGAAGGGTTTACATAGTGAAAAAAAAAATGGTGGGAAAGAGTGTCTGATACCACAGATGAGCATAGTTACTGGTTTGGGAACATGAGCAAAGACTGAATTGCTGTGTATGCTTTTAACAAGGTTAGCAGGTACTGGCAGATGAGCACATCATTGCAGTGTAAGAGCACACACAGCGTATGCAGTGGAGTGGAAGTTCACACCCTGGCTGACCTCGGGGTAACTTATTCACCTTTGCATAACCCAGATTCACTCGCTGAATAAGCATTAGTGTAAGCAAGTGCTTTTCATGCTTTGTTGAATTGAGGACTTAATGCCTTTTTACTGCTATCTTACCCTTGGAGAGTGAATTCTGGGAACTCTGGAGTATTTCTTTCAGTTTGCATAAGAAAGCAGTGGGTGATTTTTGGTTTTGTTCTTTGAGATGTTCTCTGCAGTTGAATTTTAATTTGCACATCCTTGAGATGCCAGAAGGGTGGAAGAAAAGGTTTCTGTGGATGAACCTGAACATTTTAAAGTAGCTATCCCTAAGATTAGTTGTATGTGTATCAGTTGACTGAACAGGAGCTGGAGGAGAATGTGCTCATCCTCAACTACAGGAGGGTTTTAGCTGACTCCATTGAAGAAAAGGCAATGTATTTGGTGTTGCAAATGGAGTGACAAAAGAGAGTTAGAAAAAGAAAAGCCCTCTGTAGAGGTTACTGAATCCTTTCTCTTCCCAGTCAGCCAAAAGGAACTGGAGAACTCTGCCATTTGTGGCCTTAGAGAAAAGCTCTAAAAGTAGTGCAGGAAGCAATGATCCTGCTCTGTAATAAAGGCAAACCTTGATAATGGGCTGTATTGTTCAGAGGTGATGAAAAATCTGTTCGTAAATGTTTCTAGGTTTCCAAGGACTCGTGAAAACAGTATCTCATCTTGGAGCCTTACACTGGGATCCGGCTTTGATTTATTGTATGTTGTCTCTTTAGGAAGATTCTGAAATAAAAAACAGTGCTTTAATTTTAAACTTCCTGCAATGCTACCTCAAGTTCTGGCATGGTCAGAATTAATGCTGGCATTCTTCTGTTGGGCCTGCTTGTATGTTCAGCAGGCTTATTGAAGTGCTCAGTGTTCTGCAGTTCGAGTCACTCTGCTGAAGTGGGTAGGACTTAATGATAGGATTGTAAGCTAGCAGTCTCTTGGATTTCAGTAGTCAGCAGCCAGATGAAAACAGGCAGTCTTCAGTTTGTTTGTGTCTTATCTATGAAGTATTTTAGCCTTGTGACTTCTCAGTCATATTTTACTTACATATATTTCTGTTTCCAGATTGAGATTGGAGGAAAGAAGAAAAGAATTGGTACAGAAACTCGAAGAAACTACAAAATTGACAACTTATTTGCATTCACAACTTAGGAGGTAAGGCTGTACTGCATCGTGTGGAATCTATTTTCAGTAACAGTGTAGTGGACTTGGTTGTCTAAACTTCATTCTCAGGTTTTTCTCTTAGCTGGAGGCTGAACAAAATTTGTTTAATATTTAAAAATAAAACACAACTACAACAGCTTCAACCATGTTGCCATCTTGTGAACCTGGCATACATTTCTATTTTCAAAAATTCAAGACTGGATTGAATGGATCTTTTTTTATAGCTTCTGTAAATGAGTAGGGATACATTATCTTGCTTCAGTGTAAGTAAATCAGGAATTCTGTAATGGTCAGATTGCAAAATGGTGTCACTGAGTAGAGAAAATTGTTTCTCAGACATCTGTGCAAAAGGAGAACTGCAGCGTGCATAATGACTGGAGAGCTCAGTGAATAAATGTGTATGTGGACGTATGTAAAGACTTGTGAAGAGCTGGTTCTCTTCAACTCTGACTTGTGCTTCCTATAGGCAAAGAAATACCCTCAGCAGGATATTTTCCTGGCAGACATTGTTTCAAAATCTGATTCTGGCTGCACGCAATTCATAATGATAATAAAACAGTAATCAGTGACAGCAACTGTGAACTCAAAATCATTCCTCTGATGGGAATTCTAATATTTAATGACATGTGAAGTTTGTCCTGGGGAAGAATTTCTCCCACTTGTGCACTGTACCTTTGGCTATCAATCTATGTGTCTGTTATATTTATTTTAAAAGTTGTGAATTTGGTCAAACTCCTGCTATGTTAACTCAAACGAGTAGAAACAAGAGTAGAAATCAAAATGGGGCTACAGGGGGAATAATATTTTTAAGAATTTTATAAAGATCCTCTTGCAATAAGCCATGCCAACCTATTCATGGCTTAGCTATTTCAGTCATCTCAGCCAGACTGTGCAAGTTGCATCTTGATTGGTGGTTAATTGGTTAAATGTCTATTACTATTTCTTAAAATATATTCTGTGATCTTGTTTGTTCAGACTCAAGTGTCATTTTGTCCTGTTAAAGGCAGTTGTGTAGCCTAGTGGCAAAATTTTTAAAGTTGATAGCTCTGCTGCTGCGTTTAAAAGGGGCTGCCTTGAATTATTTTTCCTGACATGTTTTTTCCCAGCAGAGCCAAGGCAGTGACACTCAGTTTCTCTGGCAGGGCTCCTTGCCTTCACTTTTCATGTTAATAAACATGTAAAGATTGCATGTTCGTGGCCTGTTCATGGTTATAGAACTGGATGCAAAGTAGTTCTGCTGTGAGTTCTCTGCTTCTGAGACCTGCCATTTCTCCCAGGTGCTTGGGCAGAGGGAAAGCTGCGTAAATTGTTCTGGGGTGACAGCAGTGTTCTGCTATCATAACCTCTCTCCTTTGCAGTGACATTGACTCCATGAGTGCCCAGCCCAGGGTGGAGCAGAGCAGCTGAGAGAGCTGCTATCACTGCCAGACCAGTTTGTTAAGGCTGCAGCCTTCTCTGGAAAAAGGGCTTTGGGAATAGTCCATAAACTGTTTATATTGTGCTGAGGGTGTGCAGGTTGGGTGCACTGCTTCTAAAACAAGTATGGTTGTGTAAAAAGAAAGAAAAACGAAAACAAAAAGAAACCCTAAGCAATATTCTATTGTAAGAAATCATTACAGTACAGCTCCCAGTCAATCTTATCTCTCCTTGTGCTGTTTAGTTCAGTAACATCAGTGTATGTCTTTGTTCTTTCTTTGCAGCCTCTCAGCTAGTACGCTGTCTGTGTCATCAGGGAGCAGTCTGGGATCTCTGGCATCCAGCCGGGGATCTCTGAACACATCAAGCAGAGGGTCGCTCAACTCGCTCAGTTCCACGGATCTCTATTATAACCAAGGCGATCAAATAACAGATTTGGACTATCAGTATAAGCTTGACTTCCTACTGCAAGAAAAAAGTGGTTACATTCCTTCAGGGCCTATCACTACTATTCATGAAAATGAAGTGGTCAGCTCCCATGGCAGACTAGGTTACAGTGACTCTCCTTCAGCCACAGACCAGCCCAAGCTGACTGAGCCTCCCAAATCTGTGACATCGCTGTCTTCCAGGTCTTCACTGTCCTCCTTGTCTCCCCCAGGCTCCCCTTTGGTTTTAGAAGCTGCATTTTCTGTCTCTGCTCAAAATTCCCCTCTGCATCACCTCACTACAGACTTTGAAGACTGTGATTTTGCAGGCATCAGTCTCTGTGAGAACCAAATATTATTGGACTCTGAAGCCAGAGCAGGATCTCAGATTCCTACAGACGATAAGGGTCTTCATGAAAGCATTAGACAGCCTTTGTCTTCTCTGCATGAAGGAAGTTCAGGTAATTTGTGAAAAAATCTAATGTGAAAATGTATACATAACACAGAGATTTTGAACAAGCAAATGACTTTTGAGTAGAGAAAGCTCCTGTAACTGAAGTGTAACTCGATGGGCTCAGATTTGCCATTGTGAGCAGTATTTCTGAGGGACACTACATAATTTGCAGCTTTGGGAGAGAGAGCTGCGAGCTCCCTTTTCCATCCACATCTGTTCAATAGCTGTTGCAATTTTTTATCCTCAAAAATGGCAGGAAAAAAAAAATAAGCTGGATCTTGAAGGCAAGAAGGACGCATGGTGTCCTTAGGTATTGTCAGAACATTTGAGGACAGAGGAAAAATGCCTTGTGCTATTTTTTAGTAACTTGAATTCAGATACTTTGCTTCTTACTGAATAGTATGTTACAAGCATGGTTCCTCAGTGGAGATTTCTGGCCTCAACAGTTAGAATTTGTGTGTGTGTGTAGTTATCTGAATCTGCTGTTGCCAAAATATCTGCAGTTCGTTTTGCATGTAAGTTGAGAAAGAGACAAGTTCCCACGTGCCACATAAGTTACAGTGTTGCTGTGCCCATTTTTAACATGGATTTCATAGCTTTTAGCTTTTTACCCATCTGTGAGTTAGAGCAGAGCACCTAAGCTAGTCTGGGTAATTTCCAAAAGGATGAGTCATCCCATCCTAGAATTTGCTTCTCTCTAAGGAAGATGGGATGAATGACACCGTGGGTTATTGAAGTGTTGTTGGTAATTAGGTAACATTAACTTTGAGAGGCCATTAAGGCTGCCAAAATGAGCAATTTTGAAAAGCCAGAAATTAATTAAGCTTCCTGTACCACTAGTTTCCAGAGTAAAATGGGCCTCATGGCGAGGCTTTCAGTATGTTAAGAGTGAGGTACAGAGCTGGGGTTGGTTCAGTGTTTCTACTCTAATTTCTCTCTTGGAACTGCTGCAATGCTGAGTGGAAAGGTTTTCTGCAAACTCAGCCTGAGGCATAAAACCTGCATGGAATATTTCAGCCTGCCATATAGGTTGTACAAGGCTATGAATTCAGATACTACAGAATCTTAATCTGGGGGCAGACAAACATAGCTTAAGTCAGTGCAGCTAGTAATTTCAAGTCATAATCTACCTTGGCTATTTAGACACAGTGCTCACCAACCTGCCTGTCTGTCTCTGACTTTTCTCTATTGGTGAACCATACATACATTTCCTCCTCTGTACATGTCTCTGCTGTCAGAAACCAAGTTGGAATATCATGTAGTTCTTCCACAGTCAGTCTCTGTCGTTGTCAAAGTCAATTCAGGCTGCTGTGGTAATTCCTGAGGGTAATCAATAAATCATGTCATCACCTTCACCCCTCACGTGGTGGGGGGGGAAGGGAAAGAGCACTTCATCATCAAGGAAAAAGCATTCCTACTGCCATAAGTAAAAGCACAAATGCAGCAATCAATCATCTAATCTGAAGCCTTAAATTTTAAACATCTTAACAAGATGTAAAGTCATGATTCAGGTGGGGGCCATAATGCATACCAACATCCTCACCCGTCGGCAGATAACAGTACTGCACAGGCCCTCATCTAAGTGAGTTGCAGAACGTGGCTTTCAGTCAGTGCTGCTGCTTTGCTGCCTGAAACTAGTGTATGAATACAGATTGAAGATTAAAGATGAGTAGTAGTTGATAGTAAAGACTCGGTAGAATAAAAAACTTTTTATGATAGAAAACCAGAGGGTATTTTTTGTTTCTAGTAGTTATATCACTAGGGAGAGTGCTTCTGTCTGACTTGTGAATATTTAATAAAAAGTAGGCAATCACTTTGCATGTACCTGAAGTGTTTCTATAGTGTAGAATGTGAACATAGCAAATACAGGTTCACAGGTGAGGATAATGGGAGTTAATAATGAGGATAATGAAGTATAATAACAAGCTCAGCTGATCCAGGTGATGATAGAAGCACGTACTTTGGAATGGACTAACAGTTGTACATTTTCAAGTTCATCAGTTTGGATATATCTCTAGCCAAAATATGTGGAACCGGTAATGCAGTCTCCGAATGTTTAATGATGTGGAACAAAACTACTGTGTGATACTCAGTTCAGGGTCACTGCTTTCAACTTTACAACTTTCTAAGCTATGTACTTCTCTTTTTCTGACTATTAATCTCTCTGACTGATTTTCATTCTTTCTTTTCATAGGTGTTGACTTGCCAAGAAGAGCAGCTAGTCATCTCCTTGCAGAGAAGACAGCTTGTGTATCTGCTGCTGTGTCTGATGAGTCTGTAGCTGGAGATAGTGGTGTATACGAAGCTTCTGTGAAACAGTAGGTTTGAGAATAAGCATTTCCACCAAAAAATTAAATGTTCCTGTAAGCAATTTTATACCATCGGCACAAGGAATTTAGAAATGCTGTATATATTCTGCCATGTGGCGGTACTGGCACTGCTCAGAGTGACCTCTGTTACTGCTTCTTTTATGTAAATGCTATGATGGAATAGCATTTCATTTGAATATTTGCTTCGTTAAAAAAAGTGGATATTGGAAAGATGGGAAGATCCCCGCATGAAATGTTGGTGTAAAAATTATCCAGATTTAAGGGTTTTTGAGGTATAATATTCATCATTTACTGTGGTGAACAGGATACAAGAAGAAATGTATTTGCCATCTTTGCTTTCTGACAAGATATGACTTCCATGGAATTCTCCATACTTACCTATGCAGTGTTTTTACTTTTCTAGGCTGGGGAAGAGTAGACTGGCAAACTGAGAGAGAAGCTAAAAGTTTTATTTTCATTTCCTTTTTGGCACATTCTTGGCACTACAAATTTTTTGTCCTTTTGAGTATTCTGAGGATGCTTACGAAGATGTTGATGCATGTCTTCTGTTGACAGGATTAAATGCTTTGCTTTAGGACAGATAAAGGTGCATTATAGTATCATGAATGGGTTTTACTGGCCTTTGATAAAAGTATACCTACTTGTGAAGTCTTTCACAAATTAAAATGCAATAATAACAGATGAGACCAAACACAAAAGCACAGATACAAAAGAGATTACCCTTTAAGTAGTGAAGCCACTTAAACTTGGTCCTGGCCATCCAGTGGTAGGTGTTCCTACTTGGACCAGGTGACTCCAGAGATGCCTTCCAACCTCACCCAATCCGTGATTCTGTAAAAACTCAGCCTTCACTTAACTAAGTGACTGTGATTGAGTAGTTCAGTTCCCTAACCATAGTTCTCTTTCCACCTCATTTCAATTCAGAGCTACTGTGATCACAACTTACAGTGCACTCTGATTGTAAGCAGAAGTGGATAGAATTGAACAAACATTGGACTAAAAGGCATGGATTTTCTGTGGAACTCCTTAGTTTCATCTCCGGTGACTGGTGGGGTGGGTGGAAAACAACGATTTTTTTCTCTTTTCCCTGTTGATATTCAGACAGAGAGGAAAGGAAACAATTTATCCACTAAGCCTACGTACAAAAGCAAGCTGTAGCTATTTGCACAAGCTAAGATTTACAGACACCAGGTTTTCTGTGATAGCTCCAGGTGTGGATACTTTTAGTTCTCATTGACTTGGAAGCAGTGAAGTGGTAATGAGTGCCTCTGTGTGATCTGCTTATGTTTAGTAGAAGTGTCTTTATGAGCACTCTGTATGGAATAACAATTTGTCAGTGTGCTCTTGAAGCTGCAGTACAGTAATTTCCCACTGCATAGACTAGTCTTTGTGTTGAGTAATTTAAGGAAGGAAGGAAGGGAGAATAAACACACCCTATCATATTAGCCAGCAGCTAGGAAGTGAACTGTAGAAGGAAAACTTAGAATGTGTAGTCTCAAAATAACTCTGTCCTTTCTCAGTAGCTATGGGATATCTGTGACATTCTCCACATGCACTATTTTGACCACTGTTTGTTGATCCCAACAATCTACTTTAAAAATTAATGAAAAACAGTGATAACACATCCTCATTCAAACCTCTCAGAAAACAACTGGAAACTTTTTTGCCACACTGATTGTCTGTAATTCCATTCTGTACTGGAGTTGCTCTTTAACTACAAGACTTGAGTCTTTTTGGTTCTTTGAATGGTTCTGAAACAAGCTCAGAGGAAAGATGTTTCTTGTTTGCACAGAAACTTCTCTGTTGCACAGAGCTCCTGTTTCTCAAAGGTCCTCCAAAGTAGTTCTTGGTATCTAGTTTATGTGAGGTCTGATATTTATTAGAACTTTGAATTTCCAATTTTGTATTTTGAATAATTAAGAAGTACTAACCAAGTATAGAGAAATGTTACCAGTTGCTCTCTTGCCTGTTAGTCTGACCTGTTTTAGTAATCAGCCTAAAGACTCTGACTCATGACTGGATTTGTCAAAATGTTCAGGCAGCAACTATCTTAAAACAGGAATTTCTATTAGGGAGGCTGTGAAATTCTCATTTGCACTGCTTGCTGCAATTAAATTCAAGAGAATGAACATGCATTCTGTGTGTGTCTACTTCAGTTATTGCTGAAAGCTAAGTATAACATTCCTAACTGTTGCGTATTTGCTTGCTTGCCCTAGTCTAAATGAAACCGAGGACATTGTATACAGTGAAGATGATGCAACAGCACTAGAGTCTGCCCAAGTTCAAATAGGACTCAGGTGAGCAACCAGCAAAGAGAATTTATCTGTTCCTATGTAAATAAATAGTGAACTTTCCTCATATTGTCCTCTCTTTAACAGATATGACCACAGCAATTCAAGTTTTGTGATAATCATAGTCCAGCTCAGAAATCTGCCAGTGTTTTCTGTTCCCCTTGGCTCTAAAGTGTAAGTAGTAATATGAGAATGCAATAATAAATTGAACAAATTCTCCAAAGAAATTGATTGATTGGCTGCTTTACAACACTAAAATATGCATAAAACAAACTGTAGAAGTATGTAGCTTTCATGGATTCTGGCAAGAAAACAAAGTTACCAGGAAATTTGCACATTACACATTAAAGTGGAATACTTAAAATTTGTGTCAAGGTCTTTTTTTGTTCATTCAAGAACTTGTAGGTTTGACACAGTAAAATGTGAGACGATGGACATATTCACCTTTTTTTCCTGTGCTAAAGTGAAAGTAAGCTCTTCTGTTAAACAAAGCCAGTGTTAACCTAATTTCTTCTGGTATATTTCATCTAAATTTGAATTTTCAATAATACTGACAGTATGTATGAAATCACTACCACAAAATACAGCAACAGTACTACAAATCTGGGAAGAATAAGATTTTTCCAGAAAGTTTTTTTTTCCAGAATATTTTTCCACTTGTTCTTCCTGCTTTAGTTGGCTTCATTGCATTCTGCAATTAGTACGTGTCAATAATATAGAAAGCCAACACCAGAAATGAGTTAATGCGTAGGCACAGACAGGATGCAAAACATCTTGTTAATGTGCTCTGCTATGCGTTTGAGGCCCTGCGCACTAGGGAAATAAAGCTACAAATTACATGAGGAATGTCTTTCATCCATTGAACTACTAGTAACGGGAGACCTGCAAGCTAGCTGTTACTGTCGTTATTCACACAGTATCCATTCATAGTTGTTAGATACAGAGAATGCAGCTGCATACCAGTTGGAAGATACTTCCGTACTTCTTCAAGCCTTCAAACTGCATTCTTCTAAGTCTCACTTCACGTATTACATGCCTTAAGCAGCTATGGCCCTAGATATCTTCCTTATTTTTCTTAGTTTTCTGTTTTCTTTGGAGTTCTGTTTGGATTTTGAAAAGATTGAAAAACATGCCACTGCTTTCAGTGCTGCTTGCACTGTTTTAAGAGTTTAACTTTATTGGAATTTCTTCTCACTTAGTTTTTAATTGACATTAAGGTTCTTTTTCCTCCTGTCTGTGACACGGTCTTCAGGGTGTTGCAGTACCAAACCAGAGCATAGAGGCAGAAACAGCTACCTCCTTTGCTACTACAGAGGCAGAAATTCATTTTGGGAAATGTTTGTGCAAGGAAAAGATGGGACTTTCTCAGCCCCTTCTCTCTTTCTCACCTCTTTTCCACTCCATTTCTGGTTGGTTGCTGTTTCATTTTCTCATCATGCAGTCCTTTAGACAATGGGGTCGATTTCTATCACTAATCATCAATAAGTGTTAGTTTAAATACAGGTAAAGATTTTCTTTTGTTTTCAACAGGTATATTAGAGTAGCAGTACTTCCATCCTCAGCTGATACCAGCTGTCTGTTCCGCACAAAAGTTCATCCTGCCATGGAAACCATTTTACTCAACGAGATATTCAGAGTTGCCATTTCCCAAGGAACACTGCTACAGAAGACACTGAGAGTAGATGTTTGTGCGGTCAGTCGAAGCCGTCGGGAAGAATGCTTGGTATGCAGTTTTACTTCTGGCTTTTTTTTGACAAGCATTTGTTCATAGTGTCCCCTTGTACTCTGATGCTCAAGGCCACTGAAATTGCACAGCACCTGCTTCAGAATTTCTTCTCTGCATATAGTTGTTACTTTAATACTCTGGTTTTCTCTGGAATCCCAGATACTCAATTTTATCCTGGATGGATGTTTCAGAAGGTGGCTTGATAATTCTAACACAGCATTACTGTAAGCTTTAATTATAGGCTGGCACTGCAGCTCTGTCGTTTTTGATATTAAAACATTATAGACTTCATTGCAACATTACACCAACAGTAGATTTTAAAGTGAAAGCTGAGAGCCAGAGTATGTCCAAATAAATCAACACTAACCCTCTTTATCAAAACTTGTCACAAAGAGCAAACTAAATTTAATTTTTGTACACAGTTGTAGAATAAAAGTTCACCTTTTTCATTTTTTATGATCTTTAGAAATAATAAAAGAGCATGATACCCATGGACTGGCTTACTAGATAGGCTTTTTTGTACTCCACTGTTAATTGCAGTTATCACCTAATTAGTGACTTTTCATTTACTTTCAAATTGCTTTTGCACTGTCTTATACAAGTCAGTTTAGTTTTTCACCAGAAGTCTGTTGTAGTAGAAAAGTAAGAGTTTTGGTTTAAATGCCCTGAAGAGATGCTAGAATTTTGATGGGACTCTTTAGACCAGACTGCAGGAGTGGCCTCTCACTTTCAAAAATGTAGGAGTTCCTGGGCCATGTGTTGGCCTTTCTCAGTGTGTCTGTGGACTGAATTAATCAGCTTTACTGATGTGAAGAAAACCAAGAGGTGTCCCCTTAGGTAAGAGAAGAGTCACAGAACAAAAATGCAATAGAGTGGAGGATTCAAAGGTGAAGGAGAAAAAAGAAAAAAAGACATAAGGGTTAATCACAAGATCAGAAGAAAGAGTTGGGAATAGCACCTCCGGCAGAAAGCCTGGGCATCACAACCAGTCTTGAAAAGGGCTGCTCGGCTTAGTAGCCATGAGGGTGATTTGCTTTGCCAAGAATGGAGGATTTCAATCTCCAAGAAACAGTCCAAGCACACACGTACTTTGTACGTTTTCCCAAAGGGTTTGTCCAACTGAAAGGGCTTCTTAATCTCTTTTCATCTGCTTCTTCACTGGTTAGAACACATGAGTCATCCATTACTGTTTTCTGTATTGATGATCTTTGTGGTGGAACAACTGGAAAATTAACAGTAATTGCTGCTCTGTGGGTTGACACTGCAGGTTTCACTGGCACAAGTTTTTGTTATTGAAAGCTATAGAAAGCAAATGTGTGCATTACAGAGATAGAGAGGGATTTGTGTTGATGCATGTGGGGAGAAATTCTGCAACCTGAAATAGAGTAGGGCAGATTGGACTTTATGATGGACCTTTCCATGTACTACTTTGGTTATTTTGACTAAGTAGCAGTGAAGGGAAACAGAAAATTGTACAGTTAAAAAGAGAATTAAGATCCACGCCAAATCTGTGCTGCTTAATTTACATGATAAATACTGCTGAACTTTTCAGCTGTCTTACCAGAAAAGAACTTCGGACTTTTTCCCTTTATTTTTGTACAGGCTGGAACTCAGATCAGTCTGGCAGATTTATCATTTTCTGATGAGACTTGTGCTCTGTGGTATAACCTTCTGTCTTGCAAGCAAATGCCTGGCAAAAAAAAAAAGGATCAGAATGAGGAACCCATGTTTCTTTTAAGCAAGCAGTCATCAGACTCATTGGACTTGGTGAGTGAAGTACTGCCTGTTACTGTAATAACAAGAAAAAAAACACAGGACCTAATTGTGCCATGGCACTACAATTCTGTATATGCTGTCCTGTTCTGTTTATAGTCTTTTGTGTGAGTAGCTCTCCTAAGGGGTTGCAAACTTGTTGCTAAGCGTGGGTAGGGCCCAAGCTTCTTAGTGGATTACAAAATTGCACTCTAATTCAAAACATTTCTGCTGTTTAATTTTAAAAATAAATGCTACCTAATGGCTTTGTTAAGATTACCATTGACTTGCATATGCATGTATTAAAAATGCTATTTATTGTCTGAATTTGCATACTTAAAAAAGTAATTTCACAGAAAATGCTGTTTATGCAGAACGCATGCTAATTCCTTTAGTTAAATAAACTTTTCTGCTTTAACACTTACTCAAGAGAACAGCATTAAAATGTGACTTTTAAGAAGAACCTGTTTTTAGCTAGGGATGTTACAAGCATGAGAGGAAAAGAGAGAGGAGTTATTATAGGATGACAGGAACATATTTGATAGTATTGTCATTAGAGAAACAATCTGGTTTTGACTGAGATTCATCCATTAATGTTCTACATGCTAACAATTCAAACTCACTATTTGTGGTCTAGATCGATTTTTGCTGGTACCAGGGAGCACCATGGTAATAGAGCTCTTGTAAGGGGGTCTTTTTTCCATTTTTTTTTCTTTTTTCTTAAACCTGGATTATGTATCACTCAGTTCTGGTTTTGCCTTCTCCTTCCTTGTAAGCAGGATGCTGTGTCAGCTCTGCTGGAGAGAACATCCGCTGAGCTGGAAGCAGTAGAACAAGAGCTGGCTGAAGATGAGGAGGAAGAGGATGAACAGGAGGAAAGGGGCTCTGAGGAAGACTGGTAGAGACATTTTTTCTTTACTATTCATGTCTGAATGATTCTGCTCCTCCCTCTTATTCACAGACAATGAGAGAGCAGTGTGGGGATGGGATTCTTGTTCCCTCATGTGGTTAACTGTTTTACCTTCTCTTAGGTTTACAGTGTCTTGGCTGCCCTATTAGTTCCCAGTGCTCATGCTCCTCCATGTACTTCGTTCCATGAAACGACTTGGGATGTCTAAGCCACTGGAGGTCTACTAGGATGTCTCTTATCTAACTGTGCTAATAAGTGACTAATAGGGTCTGAGTGGAGCTCTTCTGTCTGACAAACTCAGTGTGTAGGTGCTTCCACTGATTATCTTGTTTTTGAAGAAGCTGTGAACTTTTCTCAAAAGGATTTCTTGCTGAATTGCTGAGTTTTGTTCCAGTGCAATTTTTTAGCTTTATTGTTGGGGAAGGGAGGGACTTGTTTTGTGAATTTGTTACAACCAAAGTCCTTCACTGCTAACAGCGTAGGGCTATACAATATAGTGCAGTGTAATCGTCATGATCCTGAACTGTAGTAGAGCTTTCAGGATTTTATTGGAGCATATAATAAGTGTGCTTTCACATGAACTTAAAGGAAGCATTTCAGTGATAATCATTTCCCCATTAGGAAAATGCATATGTTATACATGAGTGAAGGCCTAGGCCTTCCACTATCTTTCCGTGGTGGGCTTTATCAGCTCAAGAGTAAGCCCAGGCTGCTTTTGTTCATGCAGGTTAGAAATGCTTGCAGAAGCATCTGATGAAATTGGGGATGAAGAGGAAGATGGCATTAAGCTGGCGGTAGAAGGCAACTGTACCGATGACACGGGGTTATTCATTGATGCAGGAGAAACTGAGGAAGATGAGAACAGACAGAACAGAGATGAGGCCCATGAAAGCCTGCAAGCTGCCGTCATACTAACACTGGTGAGCGTTCCTGTGGTATCTTACTAGGTCTGAAGTCCCGTTTCTGGGTAGTTAATTGAGGAATCTGCCACATCCGAGCATTCACAATTTGGTGTGGCATTTGCTGTAGCACTCGCGTGAACTTTTAGCAAAATTGGCATAGTCACTTTTGAGCTGTGCAGAAGGCATTTAACAGGCATGCTACACGGAACTTGTAAGTCAAAGACAATTAATTAAAAGTGTCAGTCTTCACCTTTTTTTTGTTGCGCGAGGAGACTATGCAAGGTACAGGAGCAGTTCAATAGTTTCAATCTGCACATAAAATATTTCTGCGCATCTGTTTCATTGCTGCCAATTCTTTTTTTTTTATCTGTTGTTTCCCTTCTAATAAACAGAGGCAGAAACAGAACAGGGATCAAGATCTTTAGTGAGGAATTTCCTTATTTCTAATTTCTATTTTTGTGAAATGCAAAATCTGGCTTAGCAGAGGAAGGAAGATTAATTAACAGAAGGCTCCAAAATATGTATTGAACTGCATACTGTTGAACTACCCACGGACTGTACATGTGATGCCTCCATTGGCATGTTCTTGTTAACTGTTTGCCTAAAACTATATCCTACCTTTCGGAGAGGACTTTTAGAAAATACTTCATACAGATGTGCCCGATATGATAGCACATAATCTAGAAATTAAACTTTTAGAACATATTTCTGTATCTTAATGAAAATGATGTTGCCTAAATAAATTAGTCCTATGGGTTCTATAAAACAGCAAAGACAAAAAGACAAGAATGACAGCTTGTTCCTTCAAGTTTGTAACTATACAAAAGTTTGACACCTCAGTGGACTTGCTGGAAACTGTAATTAACTTCCAATTAATGTGGAAAGATGCCAAATGAGCCAAGGCCATGGTATAAAAGGACTGACAGTCTTCTGGGTAGCAGACAAATATAGATCAAAGCTCTAACTCAGCAAGGGGAGACGTCAAGGAGAATGTCTGAAGGTTAGACATGCACATAAGTCTTTTGCAGTGCCAGGGCTGGGTGGACCTGGACAGTAAAGGAAAGACACTGCAGACCTGATTATAAACAAGCCACAGTATAGATCATCTTGTGCCAGATCCTCTCAGGGTTACAGTTGTGCTATGTAGGTCCTTGTATTTATCACCTGCACATTCAAAACCGTGAACTTCATTAAATTACCCCAGTTGAAGAAAATGCCCCAGTGCACATCAGAAACATCACATGTGCCAGCTGCTGCAGTGCTCGTTCTGTCCCTGCTGTCAAGATGATTGCTGCATGTAAGTACCGACGGCGCCTCCTACAGGGATGTCAGCAACCGAGGCTCCTCGTGACATGTGAGGGACAACTGTACTGGGCAGCAGCCCCTTCTTGGGGTAGGAGCCTCTGCCTGATTTCACATGGCTGGTGCAGCTCTGCACATCGCCACGAGGCACTGCTCTGTCAGCCCTCGGCAGATGTACAGAAGAACCCATCCCAGCTGCTGCTTTGTGTGCATAGGCACCATCTCAAGAATGGCCAAACCTTGCTGTTCTACAAATGCAGAACAAATCCAGTATAAATACAAATGCATAATAACTATCTGTGCAAATGGCAAATCAAAATGCTTGTTGTGCCCTGGTTGGATCAGAAAATCTGCAGGGCAGCAAAGGCAGAAGCTATGGTTCTAGAGGAGAGAGATTTACTTTCAAAGGCTGCCCAGACTTCCCTAAGTATTTGGGTAGTTTTGTGCTTCCTTGCTTGGTGTAGCATGGTGAGCAAGATGATTTTTTGCTACTGATCTTCTTCCGTCTCCTCCAAGGTGACAAGAATGCTTGTAAAATTCAAAGACAAAAAACCTATATAGTGGCATGTGTCCGGGCGTAATAGTTCTTACAAACTGAATTCCTTTTGATAGGTTGATAAAGAGACTAACACTGAGGAATCAGTTAACGAGGATGCAACAGTCCGACCCAAGGACAGAGCCAGCTGGAGCTCAAGACAGCGTCCCTTTGTCAGGAACAGCATGATTGTGCGCTCACAAACCTTCTCGCCAGGCGAGCGGAACCAATACATCTGTAGGGTAAGAGGAAAAACACTTGGCATGAAGAGCTATTAACTAAAGAGTCATTTAACTTCTTGGGAATGATGCATTAATGACAGTGAGTCATGCACCAATTTTCCCCGCAAGAGGCAGAGCCTGTGCTTTCTCTGTGCTTCTTCTTTCCCTAACTGACCTGGTGTGTAGTAGAATTGGCTTTCAGCAAAGTTGCACACTCTTGCAAAACACCTTTATGAGGACAAAAACGCATCCTGTTGGATAAAAGTAACAGATTCCTGTGCTGGCTCCCTGCAGTAAATGTTTCATTGCACGGAAGCAACTATAGCTCACACACAGCAAAATTATTTGTTAAAACAGAATGGAGTTCTCTGTAATCTGCCATTACATGAACATATTTTAATAATATAACCATTCAAAGGTAACCGCGTGGAAAGAGCTCAGTCACCAGTAGTAAATCTCACTTTGTTTCTAACTGGTTTTAAACCTGGACAGCCCAAGTCTTGCTGTAATTACCTCATAGAAAAATGTGTGAGTGCAGCCTTGGGGCTAATTTTAAACATGGCTTTGGCAACAAAATTCTCCAGTCTCTACAGATAGTAGTGTGGAAACTAAATAAATAAATTTAAATTATCAACCCTGTTGCTGCTAACCTAATGGTGAAAATCATGTTTACAGATTTAGGCATGGATTGCCAGCTCTGAATTGTAATTTACTCCCACAAATATGACTTCTTTAAATACCTCATGCTTTAATTCTTTTCCAGTACAGTTAGAGGTGGTTCCTTATAATTTGGAAATACTAAAATTGGTCACCTCTCTGTGATGATCATTGGCCTAAAAAAAGCTGTAGTCAATATGTAAATACGTAAGTATTCCTATATGTGAATGAAGTGTAGTACTGTACCAATCTTTACGTAGTTTGGATAGATCCCTGTCTGAATTGAGAACCTAATCTTCAGTTTAATTTCTGTACTCTGGAAACTGGTTGTATTGAGGGGGGAAGTAGCCTTAACTTCTGCCTGTGGGTTTTCTACAGGCAGTAGCACTAGATGTTCTGATGGTTGACTTAGCATAAATTCCTGAAGTTTCTGCATCCAGCAAAGTTCTGGGATTTTGTAGCTTTGAAATTTGCCAGAAGCCAGGTTCTGAAATAAGAAAGTTTGGCCAAACCCTGTCTTTCTCAACATGTATGGTATGGCCTAGAAGGAAAGTTGCCTGGGAAAAGCCCGTGTTTGCAGAAATCAGTCTCTTACAGCTTTAAAAATACTTGTGGTCCACTGTCTGGGCTCAAGAGTGTGCATTGTAGCTGCATCTAAGTCCATGAATAGGGCTGAACAACTCAGCCTTCCTCAGTCCTAGTCTCCACGTGTATTGCAAACATGTCCAGCCTTACATGTTCTGATACCTTACAAGAGGAAAACAGCCAATGGATATGCTCAGGCCATCTGTTCTCATTTCAGAGGAAATTGCTTAGCACTTATATCTCATACGATGTTACAACAAGCAAAAAGTGTGTGGTTTTTTTGAGGCCTAAAGGATGGACTCAAGGCCTGTTTGGGGCCGTTAAAAATCTCCCTTGAAAAGTGCTTAAAGAACATCAGTGATAATAATTATCCGAGCATAACCGGGGGTGAGTTCCCAGTAGCATTTCCATGGTGGACAGACTTCTCTCTAGAGAGGTGTGCTCATATTGCAAGTGTATTCCATTTCTCACCCCCAACTCCCAGTCAGTTCTGCGTAAGCATGCTTTAGGGCTCTGCCTTTGTTGGTTATGGAAATGTTAGCAGAATTAATTCTTTGTATCTCTCCTTTTCTGAGGAGGTAAAAATAAATATTCTACAGATGGAAGCTTTTGCTTTCTTTGAAGATTTACCACCAAGCATGTTGATGCATCTGACAGTCTGCATTGATTTACATGGAACTAATGCTATAATTAAGAAAACACTGCTGTTGTGCTGTGATGGGTATTTCTGAGAACTTGCAAGTGCTTCTGAAGTTGTAATACAAAAAAAATGTTTGTCGGATGAGTGCATGTCTACAGTAATTTACCTTCCCTTTGGTTGTTTGTTAATGTCTGCCCCAAGTAAATGAAATCCATAGTATAACCTGCAGTCACATAAAAGCCAGACAGTCATTTGGTCTTTCTTAATATCCAGTTACCTTCCTTGCATTCCTGAACAGACTACTTCCTATTCATTAAGATCGATGGCTGTCTTGGCCTAGGAATAGAATTTTAGAATAGAGCTGTAGTTGAAAAATGTTTTATTTTATGCTAAGAATTACCTACACTCAGTGTTTTTCAGCACTGAGATTTTCTGACTGGTTTTACCCCATACAGATGTATTTGTATGTGAAGAGGCTTTATATCTCTGTTCATTATGTACGTTTTGACAGTTGAGTCGAAGTGACAGTGACAGCTCAACGCTAGCCAAAAAGTCTCTCTTTGTGAGGAATGCCACAGAAAGGAGGAGCCTAAGAGTCAAACGGGTATGTACTGCATTACCTGAATGATTTAAGACAAATGGGGAAATCAGGAGTAGCAAATAACTTAAACCACGTGCTTTTTAATGCAAGTTCATGAGCAAAAGCGATGCAAGCACCACACACATCCCCTGTAGTCTCAGGTTGGAATCTCAACACAGCGGTCTTTGTCCTCCCTAGAGTCACAGAATTGTCTGAGTTAGAAGGGACCCTTGAAAACCATCTGGTCCAACTAATATGCAATGAATAGGGATGCCTGCAACTCCATCAGGTGCTCAGAGCCCCTCCAGCCTGACCTTGGCTGTCTCCAGGGACAGGCTGGACCAGGCTCATCTTTGCCCACTGACAAACATCTTTGCCCCAACAAAGGGAACCAAGGCAGCTGAAGCTGCATAAGTATGAACACCAGTAGTGTACATGCTGAGCAAGTTTGGGTGGAAATTTCAAGGATTCTGATATGCTTTTGAAGTTGATTTATTCTTATCCAAGAGAGTTTGAATAACAAATGGATTGAAGAAGAAAGAGAGTAAGATCACATTTTTTTAACATAGAATTTGTTATTATAAGTTACGAGGTATATTTTTAATCTCAATCACAAATAAAAATAAATACTCCTGCAGAAGGGTTGTTACCAGGTTGCAGGATTACATTTGATATAAGAAAGAAATTCAGAATATTCTGGGATGACTAGTTATACCCCACTTATTCATGTGAAATGCACGGTGAAAAGATATTAAATAAATGTGCAATACGCTAATGAAGAGCTTGTTGACAGGTTTAAATAATTGCTTGGACTTGGAAAAAGCAAATATTGACTAAAAAAATAATACTGTTTAAATCTGTGGGGAAGTCTTTTGTATAGTTTTGGGCTACTTGCATAGTTCTATCCTGAGGATCAGAAAAGGGTTTCTTAGTTTTAACTTTGTCATTCTACAAATGACTGGTGAAACTTTTGCACTTATCTGTAGCTACTGACTAAAGAGTAATTTCAGAATAGATGGATTTTTGGAGTTGGATCTTGAAATTGCAGCATTTTGCTGAAGGAAAACAAAAAATAGTCAAGCTTTTCTGACTGTATTATGTCAAATCCTCCACTAGCCTCTCTAGGTACTAATTTTTGTTTTCCTCTTTCCCAAATGATTCAGCCTGTTTGCCAGCCAATCATGCGAAGAGCTACGCAAGAATGCCCTGTGCGCACTTCCCTCGACTTGGAGCTGGACCTCCAGGCATCACGGACACGACAGAATCGACTGAATGATGAGCTTCAGGCCTTGCGGGATCTTAAGCAGAAGCTTGAAGAAATGAAAGGTAGAGGAGAGACAGACCTTCCCCTGTGCGTACTGGAGGATGAACGATTCCAGAAACTCTTGAAACAGGCTGAGAAACAGGTATGAGCAGCATACAGATTTCGTGTGAAGAAAAATATTCTCCTACTTTTTTTTCTTTTTTTCTTTTTTCTTTTCTTTTTTTTTTTTTTTACAGATTTGTTAAAACATTTTTACAGAATCTCACGTTTGACTACTTACACTATGTAATTCAGATATGTAAACACTGTTTCTTTATTAGTCAATATCAAAGTATTTAAACCTAGAACTTGAAATGTTATTTGACTGGTGCCACCTAAACTGCTCTCCTGGCCATACATATACAAAGTTTCATGGGTATTTTTTGTCCTTCAGCATTGGCTGATTTGCAGTCTTGATACAATTGGTAGCTAAGAGATCTTTGTACCAGGCAGGGAGGGGCACTGGCCATTACTTTCACTGGTGTAGGATTATGGATAAAGCAGTACATCCATCCTGGTGTATTTCCTTATAGAGGATAATGCCTGCAGATGAATACCAAATTCTGTTCTTCCAGTGCTTTTGTAAAGTCATACAAATACATATTCAGCATCTAAACTAATATAAGCTAAGTCGGGATGCCCTCATGTGGATGAAAGACAAGAAGCAGGATAAGAAGGGATGAGAGATAGTGGTGACAAAGTAGAACATAGGAAATTTTAACTTGATATAAGAAAAAGCTGGATGCTGAGTGGTTTTTGCTTTGGAAGTTTTGGGTTCTTCTTTTATATTGTGAGGGGGATTGTACAATGAAATAAGGGCCCAGAGAGGTTGTGAACAACAGCAACACAACAACAACAAAAACCAGAAATCAGCCTCCACTAGCTCCACTTTTGGAGATACTGAAACTTAATGGGGGAAGATGCTGAGTATGCAGCTCTGGCTTGATTTGCTCTGAGAAGGACATCAGATCAGAGTCATCACCCTCTGGAGCTCCCATCCTCTCAGTGTTACTCTGTAGACATCAGTACTCAATGAGGAGAGGTTGGCAGCGATCTTCAGGAGGGATCTGTGTTCTTCAGCTGTTCATGGTTGATGGATATGAGTGTTTTGATGACACCCACGTTATTCAAAATAGTAAAAAAAGGAAACAGATATTAACAAGGTGCAAAGGACCTCTTAATATGTAAGCAGCAGTTCAAGTAAAAATAGTAAATATCAGTATGTATGCTTGTGTAGGGCAGAGAAGGGATAATCCTAATATTTACACACAAAAAGGGCTCCTGAATTAGCTGTTAGGAGTGTGATATTACAGATACAAGAAACAGAAATGTCAGCACAAACATCACAGCATTCAGATGTCAAAAAGCATATAAGACATTGGGAATTACAAAGAAAGAAAAGAAAGCTGAAATGAAACAAATAATAATTCTTTAATGACATAAATGCATGTTACGTCTGCAACATAAAGATTGTTTAGTTCTGGTTCCCCATCTCAAAGTAGGTAGTGAGACTGCCAAGGGTGAACAAGTACAGTCAAGTACAAGTACAATGGTGAACAAGTACAGAGAGAGGAAACAGCTTCTATGTTAGGAATGGCCAAGTAGCCACCACTGTAAAATCACAGGTGGCAGGGAGGAGGGCAATCATTGCCTTTTTTAATACAGGGAATAGGGAACTGAAGAGGTAACAGGTGGAAATAAAGAAGAAGTTAAGAAACTGTAAAAAAAAGTTTTGACCAAACATCATGAATGATGCAAATTTGCAAAGTCAAAAAGCAGTGTGATAAATTTGTGGAAAAAAAAATCTAGCAGAGGTTATTAATTGTAGCAATATCACCTACGTCAAGAAATCCTTGACCATCAACTTAGGGAAAAAAGTTTTTTTCTCAGTATGTTCTCAGCTCAGTTCTTGATCAGTGCTATTGTCTCTCTCTCTCCACTCCATATCATTACAGCCTTCCCCTGCGGATCAGATCAACCCTGAGAATGCTATACTCTGCTGTCACTGCTTCCTCTTGGTTTAGCAGAACACAGCAGTCTAGAGAACATTGTCATAGATTATTTTTTAGATCCTGCAGGCATTATAAGGTCACAGACTAATGCAGCGGCTCTAAGTGCCAGGGTAACTGAGAATGTCTCAAGTGAAAAAAAGGAACTGCAGATGTGGGGGATGTTGAAAATCAGGGGCTGCTTGCTAGTACAGTTACTCTGCTTGAAGCCCAATACACGGCTCCATACCTTCCCTTCTTACCACATTTTTGTAAGTACAGCAAGTACTGTAGGTAATACCTACAGATCAGGAAACAGTAGGTAATGCTGTGCAGCAGAAACATTTACTCATTTGTCTTACATTCTCATACGAGTAAGTTTTTTCAGATACCTGCTGTCCTCTGAAGTACTTCATCTGTGTGCATCTTAAAAGGTTCCTGTGCCTAGCTATAAATATGTTATTTCTTTCCAATACATCTTCAACGTAGTCCTTAATAACACAAAACCGAAACAAAGACAACAGCTTTTTGTTAGACTCTTTCATTCTCCTATACAAAAACACACTGAACAAGGCAGGAGTTAGAGTTTCAGCTTTAATTTTGCTAAGCTTTCCTTATTGCTTGTTATTTCATGCTTACATTAAGCACGAATACAGAGATTCCTGTCTCTCCAAAGCCAGATTTTTGGCCCATAATGAATGCACGGTCAGAGTATTAGAATGCCTTTCTGTATTTTATGTAGACAGAGGATTGCTTTTATAAATCACTCAAGAAGCATGGTACTACTATAAACCTCATCTTGTATATACCTTCTTATGTGCATCCTCTTAGACAGACTGGGCTGAAGCCAAATCTACCTGATAGCACAGTGAAACTACCAAGTTCTGAGTCCTGCTCCATGTTTGAGGTTGCTGTGGCAAATAGGAGAAATTACTTCCCTCAGTTCTCCACTTCTCCCTTCTATTGGACGCTGCTGCTCCACACCAGCAGACAATATCTTGCAGCTTTCTGCAGCCTGCCACACTAGTTCAAAATAAGATTGACAGCTGTCTGGCACGTCACAAGTCTGTAGAACCTTGATCCCTCACTGTGTATTGTTAGCACAGACTAATTTCCTGCACATAAAAATTAAAAGTATTAAAAAATTGGAAAGGAGTATGTGTTTCAAACAGCAAGGTGAATGGACAGTTGGTATTTTTTGTTGTTAACGTGAAATGCAGTAATCATAAGAATCTCAGAATCAGAGAATCTAGAAATATTATTCTGTTAGTGTTTTGATGATAAATATTAGCTTGGGAGCTAAGAAAGACATATGGCCACTGACATGCAAAAAATTAATTAATACACTACCAGTTGCAGATTGCAAATGTATGTTTACTAACTAATAGGAAAAACAGTGTTTATAGGTTAATTCCATTTTAAAATCTTTTGCTAATTTGGAGTTGGGACTGAAGTTAACAGCAGTACAGGCTGATTGGAGGTGTTCTAAAATGGCATTCCTTCATACAAACACTGGACTACATTTCAGCAGATACAGGGTGCTGCTATCTGCTGGAAGCAGTTTCCTTGAATACCATGAAACTGACAGTGTGGTGTAATGGTTTTGTATTAGTTGGTTCTGTTGTTTGGGAGCCTACCGGGCTGAATTCAGATCTGGAGACATGAATTCCTACGTCTGAAACCAATTTAGAAGATGGCTGTTTCTGGCTTGGGCATGTGTTTTCATTTGAGGTAACAGACTAGCATTCGAGTCTGCATGCTCAAAGTTAAGCATCAAAAATAAGCCCCCAAGCAACTTCAAGAAATGTTTAAGAACATGAAGTGCTTCTGTTAAGTTTTGACAGCTGACAAAACTGAAGATGCAGTAAATAACCTCTGTGTGACTGTCCCTATAGCCAGGAGTGACGGTGAGTGTGCACACACAAGGTGCCATCAGCCAGCCTTGCATCCCACTCAAAATGAGAGTGATAATGCATGTGTTAAGAAACTTGTCCGCATCTCAACACCAGCCACTTTGTCTAAGACACCCAGATGACTGTCCACTGAAAAGGAGCTGCTCTTCAAATTATTGGGTGTTCAGATACCCTTGGAACATTTAGAAAGCAAAACAAGAAGAAAAAAGCAGCGCTCAATAGCAATTTGCCACCATGCTGTGGATGATACAGCCCTGATGGTGCTGGTGATGTGGCAGTACTCGCTAAAGAAGACTGTAATGGAGGCAGCAGTACTGAGGTGTGGAGACACTGTAACTTGCTTGTGGGCATTCATGTCAAGAAAGATCCGGGATCTCTTGTACCAGACTGTGTTCCTACCTTGGCTTTGATACTGCTGCAGTGCAAAAGAGTTGTTATCCACATGCAAAATCTATGTATTTTAAGCAGCTTAAATGAACCTCTCTGCTAGGACTACCACTTCACTACCATTAAGAGTGAGAAAACACTGATGGCTATCGCCAGATCAAGGGAGAAACAAGTCAGCAAGGACCTCTGAGATGGAAATCAGTGTCCATGGAGCCAAAGCACCTCTTGGGAGCTCTCATATTTCACCTGTTTAGTCCAAAGTTCCTGTTGCCTTCAGCTCTTAGTGTTTAGTAAGGGATTCATAGGATAAGCGAAAGGCTATTCCTAATCTGATTTTACAGATGCTAAGATGTATCTTTTGTATTCATAAGGCTATTATCTTGCATCTACATTTCTACCAGTTTGTTTTTATAATTTTTAATCCCTTATTAACATAATAAAGGAAGATAAGTGACTGTATTTCCCATTCGTCCTTGGTTGTATGGTGTTGGAAGTTTTATTTCAGTGGATTTAGCATCAGCTTAACTTGATTTTGGGTTATACCCTCCGTGTCTTCAAAGCATTTTTATAGTAGAAGACGCTGATGTGAAAAATGCATTTCAGAGACAAACAATTATTTTATTGCTTTGTTTACCCCCCAGTTCAATGTACAGTAAGCACTGTAGCATTTAAAATATTTTCTTGCATAAACTTACAGAACATCTCTAAGCTGAAGTGTGTAGTAACATTAGAGTTGCAGTTGGGTGAAAACAGTTGGAAAGGATGCATCTTCAGTCCCTCATTTTCTTTCAGACTAGAGCATCCTGGCAGGGCTTTTTTCCATACATTTAAGAAATAGGTTAATATGGTTTTATCACAATTAAAAGTGCAAGAGTTCACAAATGCTAACTTTGAAAGGAATGTTATCAAAACTTGAATGTGTATTCTGAGAGATATCTTTTTTTATTATTATTTGTCATTTCAAATTAGGTATAGGCAACTTTTTAAACAACTTTCTGAAGAGCTTGCTTTAGGAAAGTAAACTATTTTATGGGGGAATTACTGTCTCCCAGTATTAAAAAGACATTTTGTTTGTATTCGTTTAGGTACTAACTTAAGTGATGAGAAATATGTCTTAAACCACACAGTGCATAGTAGCCTCCTGTGATTGGCATGGTTTATTCCATTTATTTTTTATTTCTCAGAAAATGCTTTGTTATCTTATTTAGTGCCCACTGCTTAGGCTTGTGGTACCAATTCTCTCTTGTGTAGACATTTGCTTGACACAAGAAGTTGTCATTTCTGTGAAATAAGCAGTTGCTCATTACTAGCAAAATATAGTTATTTTACAGTTATTTTACAGGCTGAGCAGTCAAAAGAAGAGCAGAAGCGAGGCTTAAGTGCTGAGAAACTGATGAGGAAAGCTTCGAAGGATGTATGCCGGCTACGGGAGCAGAGTCAGAAAGTGCCACTACAGGTGCAATCATTCAGGTAGGGCCTGTTAAGGCTTTTTTATGTTCTTTTTAGTGTAGTTAAGTAACATGAATTTTTCTAAACATAATCAAACATGCACACTTTTGAGTTTCAAGAAACATCACGCATTTCAGAGGACTGGGTAATTTGCTCACATGACAAAGGCAGCAGTGTGTCTCTGAGCAGTGGTGATGGTGAGGAAGCAGGGTGAAGAGCTTCAGACCACTGTGGGCTGCTTGTGCATGCCTGCTGTCAAAGCTCTGATGACCCACAGGTCAACAGCGGGCTTTCAGGTTTCAGAGGTGCATACTGGCTTATGACAAGTGAGAATACCACATGGATTGCTTCATTTACCTTCTGCTGTTCCTGTGATCAAAAGGAGGAGGGAAATGCAGATCTCCCAAATAAATGAGCCAGGCAAAAGTACTGATTAATCAGTTTCCAGAGCAGATGCATACTGTTCCACTTTTCTTTTAGAGGACATTTGTTTCAGGCACCAGGCATCATCAGAAAAGATACTAATCCTTCCCCTGAAGGAAGGGTGTAGTAAAACTCTGTCCTCATCTATCATCTGATCACCACAGCATTAGCCAGGGAATCCAGTTTATGAAGTCAATTTTTACTCTGTGCTACTGTTTTCAAACAGAATTGAAGCTCAGCCAGGGAAAAACATGGTTTAGTCTGTTGGACAAATAGGCATCTCCTTTGGCCAAATTGTACTCAACCTGTTAGTTGGGCTTGGTATAACGATGTGGCCTCAAAGACAAATCACACACAAAGGCATTTTGAAGCTCTTAAGAAGAATATCTCTTCTGAGTTTTGATTTGTAAGCCCCCAGTATTTATCGTCTGCTTCTGGCAGAGAGGCACATATGAACTTGTTATGCTTCAGTAATGTCTCAGTTCAAGGAGACAAATGGTAACAGCACAGTGGAAGCAACTGCAGAATGGGATGGTAATTCTGCTTCTTGCCCAGACCTAATTTTTAAGTTCTCTTTTTCTGTTTCCAAATTCAGGATCAAATGTTTTGTTTGTGTCTCCCCTGGAATATCGTGACAGAAAGTGCAGCCGTTAGAGCAATATTTCAGTTGTGTCACTGTAGTTATTACCAAAACATTGGCTTTTGGAGCTGCTTTTTATATGAATGCGCTTAAGCAGGAATTGATATCAGAATGCCCTTGCAACCACAGTTGTAAATAAATTCAGTGTATTTTCCAAACCTGTGTTTTAAAAGACCATGCTGTAACATTAGCAACTCTACAGTAGATGACATTAGTCGCGCCATAAATGGTGAAACACTAACTTGTTTTGTTTGGTAATTTCAGGGAGAAGATAGCATATTTCACAAGAGCAAAGATCAGTATACCAGCCCTTCCAGCTGATGATGTATAATCGTGCATATTCATTCAAATGTTTTTTCCATTGCCCATTTTTTTTTTTTTCAGATGAACTTTGTATTTCTAGTGACCTGCTTTTACAGCTCTTCTATTTTACATTCAATATTGATGCGTTTATTTGTAAAATACAGCACATAGAATTGTTGTACGTCTAAAAAAATGACAAAAAAAAAAAAGGAAAACCAAAGTAGATCAATTTTGGTATACTGATGCTGATTTTGTACAGTTTGTATGTATTGCATGTGTTTTTATTTTGTAAAGATGGAACAAAGGAACAAAGGCAGTACTGGGCATGTATCCTGTTGAACCGCACTGTATTGAGAAATATTACGTTCAACAGAAGATTGTTTATCTTTTCACTATTTTCATGTGAGCAGACTGTGAAGATGGCTGTTTTGCCATGCAATATTTTTGTATAAGAGTGTGACTTTTGTAGTTTGAAGTTAACTACAAGTGTAAGTTTCTTTCCAAAACATCAAGGCTGCCTCACAACAGCTGCTAATTAGATTCATCACCCATATTGGAGTTTTTGTTTCTGAAAAAAAATTTCTTCAGTTCTTGTTCTGTAATACTGTGTAGGGAGAGACAAAATTCAGTTCTGTGAATGTACAGTACTTTAACCTGCACTAAAAGGTTTCTTGCATCTGTGGGAGAGTGGGGAAAGACAAGGCAGACAAGCAACCCTAAAAACTTCCTGTGAGACTAGCAAAAGGGCAGCTGCTTTCTGAACTGGACGCTGAATCAAATTGGTAATACCAACAGTGAAATCAGAATACTTATATCTACTGTACACTTAGAATGAGTTTCTCTGTATTAGTCTTCTGTCCTAGAGGCTGCCTTATTGCCAGCTAGGAGAATATGAAAGTGTTCATTAGGTTTACAGTTATGAAGAGGATTTTATGAAAGTATTTGTACCAGGAGAAAAGTTTGTCCCCAGTAACTTGGATATCAGAAGCTTGTTGAAGTAAACTCTGTCTGGAAAAGTAAAGATCCTAACTAGAAGGCACCATGTATCTCAATACAATCACGTTATCCACGTATGCATGGCCTTAATGTCTCAAAAGAGTTATAATTGGTGAGAAAATGGAAGTGAATATAACTAACGTTATGGTAGCAGCTGTCTGAAATTCGCAGTGACAATTCTGTGATGAGAGATCTGTGTGAGATCTGTGTAAGCCTTCCCCAAGGGCTTTCTTATGCACAAATACATCAGTTCACTTAAACATACAGCCAGATGTGCTATTTGGGGCAAGATGCTGGTTAAACATCATTTATGAATGCCTCACTTGTTTTTTCTTGGTTGGGTTTGAGATAACATATTTGAAAGGTCAATTAAAAAAAAAATCTGGAATTATTTAATGTAGAGGTGAAATGAAGGTTGACAGTTTCAACTTCTCAATTTGATTATATGTTTGTAGAATGATGTTTAGAGATGTACTCTGTGATTTTTCTTTTATTTATTTACAGTCTTATTTATGTTGCGTTTAATATAGTTCAGTTCTGGCCATAAAAATATTTCACATGTGATGCTATTGTGAAAAGTATTTAGAGCTGTCTGAATTCTTGCCAGATAAGCTGTTTTTCCTCATGTGTTGAATAATTTTCAAAAAAGTATTATCATATATTTGTAAGCATGGAGTAAGGTCAAAATTTAAGGATTGTTGGCCTTAGCTCACAAAACTCATTGCAAAATGTGTCTCGTTTTCCAAATTGGTAAAGTTAAATATATTTTTAGGCAGCTTTTAACAATTCTGCTTTTTTTTTAAAATAAATTTAAATTATTCGACCTCAAAACACTGAATAGAATAAGCTAACACATACAAATAATCCTGTCAGTTTACAATTATAGATATTACTCAAAGTAGAATTTACTCTGCACAGCAGAGTGTAACAAATGCAATTAGTTCTGTTTCCAGGTACCACTATCACTGCAGTTGCAGATATCAAAATTAAACATTACTGGTACAAGAATATTTAACCAAATGAGCAAAGGTTAGAAAAAAATTGTAATAGAAGGCAAATCAAATAAGATTTTTTTAAAAAATATTGCTATGTTTGTGCTGTATTAAATATCAAATGCTCAGGACTGAACTAAATATTTAATCAGGTTATATGCTGAATGTGGTTCTGTTCTAATTTTGTCTGTAAAAGTATGCAAATACATCACGTAGATTAACTTGTCTCTGCACTTTCCATGTGTTTCAGTGATTGGAAAATACATTTTTTTTTTAACAAAGTTCGTTTCCAGACCAGTGTTTTATTCAATTGTTATTGCTGTTCTACGTCTCTGTAGCAGCCATCTGTTGCTACAAAGTGCACATAGATTTGTCAATGTAAACTGTTTGCGATTTATAGAAAGTTCACATCAATCACTGACAAGTCTTAGGATAAGTTATAAAGAAAATGATGCGTACGCTTGAAGTTAATTCTTTGCATTCATTAAAGAAAAGCTGCACTAGCAATGAGTGCTTTCCAGCAGACAGCATCTTGTTACTGTTCAGAAATGCTCGCTTTCCAGAGAGCGTGTGTGGTGGTGCTGGGATGTATTCAGTCACACACACGCACACGCGATGAAGAGCACTGCGTGACACTGAGAAACAGTTAGTTTAGACTAGTGCAAATGAATAAAGGTCCACGGAATTTAATTTAAGGTTATGTTGAACTGGCACTGCAAACCCCTTCAGAACTTCAAGGCTTCTGCTGTTTAAAAGTGTTAGGTCTCCATGCATCCATCACAATTTTTTACTCATTTAACATGAAAAAACAACACCAACGCAGTCAAGCAAATAAGCATAAAAACACCACAAAGAACACTGCAACTGATCGGATTTTGGAGAAAAACAATGGTGACTTATATTGATGAGCTATGACAATCTAATTAAAATTGAAAGTAAGTAGAAATGAAAGGAACTGTACTGTAATAATCCCTCCCCCCAGTCTTGTAAACAGTAGCCAGTCTGTTCATTTTCTTACTGTAACGCAAGAGTAAGAAAACCAAAAAGCTAGCATGTACCCTTGTTAAAGTCTTCTGTTTCCAGTCTCCACCTGTTGACGGTTGTCTTGCATATCTGCCATTGTATACTGTTCTGGTAACTGATGGTCAGATGATAAGAAGATTGTCAAGAGGAGTAGAGAGCCTCCTAGAATTATAAAAAAGCCACCAAACCAACCAGTGAAGAGTGCATCCCCTATTTCCCATCTGGGCACAATCTCTGGGATCACTTCATCCCAAAATTCCTGGATTATCGTACAGGCAACCCAGGAAACAGGAACTAAGACCAGAACTCCAGCTATCCACATGAGTATTCCTCCAAGTAGTAACAGCTGTTTCTTTAGCTTCTGCTCTGTATCCTCTATCTTTAGGCAGTCCAAACCAAGGCTAGAGATGACAAGGCTCAGAAGTCCCAGTCCGTTTGATGTACATACTAAAATCCTGGAAATCCTGAATTCTATGGGTAAAGCTAGGAACGAATCAAAGTCTTTACACTGTGTTCCTCCTATGTCTTGGACTACACAAGTTTGCCAGAGTCCCATAGTCCAAAACTCCAGTTCATTTAAGTCTAAGCCGAGGTTTTTCCAGTCTGGTAAATAGTTACAGGTACCAGTTAAAATCCATCCTATTACAGACAGCAGCAATCCAAATAACTGTAGCCTGTGTCTGTGGACCAAGTCCATTTTTAGCAGTCAAAGTAGCACTAAACTGATGGCTTTTGAAAACAGTATTCTGCACATACTGAACGCTGGCAAATGTTAAAACAAAGCTTTATAACATATGAAATACTCCTCCCCCTCCAGCTTTATGTTCCCTGGTTCCATGGGCAGCATTTAGGGGATAAGGAAATAGTGCGGTAAACCACGAATTGAAGGGTGTGACCACAGCTGGGTTCACCTTTCATTTGTATGAGTTGGTTAATTATTTGGTTTTTAGTTATATACTTTGCTTTTCATCAACCTGCTAGAGCACTGAAACATTTCTGCAAATTTTGGCATCACTTAGTTTCTTATTAAAATAAGAACCACAAATACAGAGTACTTCAATATGACATCGATACATTCCTACTTAAATAGGCTGTCCTCACTCTGGCCAGTTAAATATCATCTACCTAAAGGTTCTGTATTAAACATGTTTTGCTGTAGGTGAATGGAGCCCAAGAAGCCTTTGGTAGAATGCATAAAATCTCAGTACCTGCATCAGAACAAGAGGATAAGTGTTTTTTGTCTCTGAGCCTATTTTTGGTGCGAGTTTGCAGATGCCAAAATGCCCAGAATGACTTGCATGAGCAGTTTTATCTGCTAGGTTGAGATCGCAAACACATCTTCTTGGGCACAAAGCACCGCATCATAATATCCCATGCACAAAAAGACATCTGCAAATTGTGGTAGCATTTCAGAAATCTGCAGTTTGCTTAGCACAATTTGCTTGTCCACAAAAAACAGAGGCAATGCATGCATGCAGAGCATTAAGGATGTGGAAAAAAGTTCCTATGTCACTACATTAGGCAAGTGGAAAATTGCGACAGGGAATCAAGCTTTGAGGCTCAGTTAGTTGATTTCATACGAAGAGGAAGCTTATTTTGGTTGAAAGCCAAAATGCCATGGTACATGCATATTCATTTTCAGAATTTTACCATGCAGTTGAGAAACAAAAACACCTTTTCTACATAGTCTATGAAAAAATAAAATTCTCCTGTGAAACATTTTAAGTAGTTCTGCAGATGAGAAAATACACCAGTTTCAGATACCAGTTATGAAGAAAACAGAAGTTTAGGAAACCAGCTAAGAAACAAAGAGTCCTTTGAATTGCTACTGGAACAAGCTGCTGGCTTGCACTAGAGTTTGGAAAAGATAGGGCAGTCCTTCTATCTACTTAAAGCCTTTGGTTTTAAGGCCTAGTTTCAGTTTCCAAGTGTTGACACTGATCTTGCTGTTCTGTTACTGCATAATGGATCGAAGATGGATGGAGTTCAGTTGAGCAGATTGTACAGTTAAGTAGGGATCCTCCTAGTATAAGACAAAATCCAGCAAGCCAGCCAACAAATAATGCTTCCCCCAAATCCCACCTGGGAACAATGTCTGGTATATTCTCATCCCAAAATTCCTGGACTGTGGAGTGGGCAACCCAAGAAACGGGGGCAATAGCTGTAATCCCCGACATCCAGAACAGCATTCCTCCAAACAGCAACAGTCGTTTCTTGTGATCCTGTTGTCTTCCACCAATTTTCAAACAGTCCAACCCAAATCCTGAGAACAAGAGGCCCAAAAGCCCCAGTCCATTGGAAAAAAACATCAAAATCCTAGAAATCCTGAGTTCTAGAGGCAAAGCTAAGAAAGAATCAAAGTCCTTGCATTGCATTCCCCCTTCTTCTTGGACAACACAAGCTTGCCAGAGTCCCATGGTCCAGATCTCCAGTTCATTCAGTTCCAAGTTAAGATTTTTCCACTGAGGTAAATAGGTAGTGAGACAGGATAGGACCCATCCCAACAGAGATAATAATATGCCACTTAATTGCACCACTGGTCGATAAACCAAGGCCATTGTAAGAGTAGTCCTAAAAGCTTGTGGAAGAAGGTCGCCCCAGCGGTTCTCTAACAACTGCTGTCTCGAGTGGTGGTGGAAGCTATGATGATTTTAGTTCTCTGCAGCCCCAAATATAAGCCCTTGCTATTAACCCTTTGTAAGCTCTCAAACACTTTTTTGTTCTTCACGAAGATAATGTTTCACATAAAGGATGAAGAACTTCACTAAACCATGAGTTAGTCTTTCCGATAAGGATTTGATCTGTTACCTTCCAATTTGCTTGGTAAAATTATATCCCAATGCCTGATGATTACAAGCCTGAGGATGAACAAAGAAGGCTCTATGACCCCTCACCCTAAAATACAACAGAAATCTTTGTGCTTCGATACGGATTAATTAGATTTTAAGTGGTGATAAAAAGTCAGCTCTGCACGCAACAGGACTTCATTGTAATAGCTAAATTTGAGATTTCAGGGATGTAAATCAAGGCCTTGTAAAGAAAGGTAGACTGTTTGCCTATAATCTTTATTCTTAGGCTTCCTCAACATACATAACGGCTTATCTTCCACTGCTCTGTTTTAAGTCCCAGCACTGTAAAAGACACTCTGTAAAAGATCCTTACGTTTCACATTTTCTACATTCATTTCTGTTAAAATGGGCTTTGTTTTGACTGACTCTTAAGGGGAAAAGGAGACGGGTATGGTCAAAGCGCCATAGAGAATGAAATCCTAGACATCCCTCTACCATAATGAACTCAGGCAGATCACCAGATGGTGTAAGCTGTACCTGCCTCAGGACTTCAGCAATACCACAGTAGCAGCTTACACCAGCCCAGTGTCCCCTTTCCTAGAACCCATGTCCCAGATGGCACAGAGCGTACACTCCGTGTCTGTCTTTTGGCTCTCAGTGCTCCAAGGGCCAGGGGATGTCTGGTGCTTTTCTGATCAAAGCAAGATATCGCTATGCCATTATCCTGCTAGCAAACCCTGCTTTTTCCTGCGGTCATGACAGCTATTCTTGTGCTTGTCTACTGGGTCAGCAGCGATTAGATCTGCCTGCTATTCCCCCTGCACATGTCACAGCACAGCATGTATGGGAGAAAGCTGAGCAGTGTAAACGCATGTATGTGTGTACAACCCAAAGGTTCTATCCGGTCTTGCCTTCGGTTGCTGGATGTGACAATGTACCAAATCAGAGAAATTTGTGTATTTTAATTTGTAGTTGTTCAAAATAAGGTATGGTGATAGAAGAGCTTAATACCGCTTTTGAAGTTTTCCAAAATCCTGAAAGGTATCAATAAGAAACTTAACCGTGAAGAAAGTCTCCTCTTCCTCATTTTTGCATTATTCTGTGTCAATTTCTAACCTTTGCAATTTTACTGCCACAAGCTGTGAGGAGCCAACACAAAGACAGACAATATATTTCCCCTTAGCTTGAGTACCAGCCTAGCCATATGACTTATACCTGGTGAAAAAAATTGCCATGCGCGAGAGTAGGAATCACTGAGGACATTACTGACAACCTGGGGAACAAATTGATGCAAGCGAGGCTCTACTTTTGGCCACCCACCAGGCATAAGGAATAAAAAAAAACCAAAACATCACATTCATTCAGACTCCAGATTGCACTTTTAGATTTGGCAATGTGGTTTCTCTCCCCCATTTTGCGTTCAGAGCAAGAAAACTAGTTTCTGGAAACCATCATGACATTCAGTGAGTAACTCCATAATGCCATTTGAATAATTTTTCAGATAAACAACTGCTCTTCAGGAGTGCTTCTGCTCATTCAGGAGCTACATGCTTATTTGACTTTTAAATCACGGTTACTGCCAATTACTGGCAGCCAGTCACGCTTCCCTTGCCTATGAACCTTTAACATTTTCTTCCCTGCTGTTAATTCCAACTGTCAATACAGTGTAAAAGCACAAGATCAGGCACATGAAGTCCATTCATTCTGCTAATGTTGACCAGCAGCAGCAGTATGCCAGCCTTCACATTTTCACAGTCAGAAGCACTGAGACTGCAGCACCAGTAAGATCTGCCAATTCAGCTCTGCAATTTACTGTTAACCACACAGCAACTCAGAGCAAGCAAAAGCTTCCTTATACTACTCTGTGCAAGATTATAAAAGAATCCCCTTGTAAAAAAAGATAGGTAAGACTTGCTTTGTTGCCACGGTAGTAACAAGGGCTGAAATGCCTCAACTTGAAACTTGCTCAGTAAGCCCATAAGCAAACAGAACTTGTAGCTGAACCAAGATTATGTAAATTCTCCTATCTTCTTTTCCACTTTTCCTCTCTACCGTTACTTATTTATTTCTCTCACATGTAGAAAATGCCACATTCTCTGAAGGATTTTATTTTGGTCAACTTGTGCCTGTGCAGAAGGTAACATCCCAGAGCTACTGCAAATCCTAGAGGTTAAAACTGGGGAATGCACAGCAGCCACACCACAAGCACCACGTTGATCTGCATCCCAGCTCTGCTCAGCACCAGCTGAACGACCGTCTCTGTCACTGAGTGCAGAACTCCCTTCAGTGTCTGCCCTACAATTCAGGGTAATTTGAAACATAAACTCTGCACACTATGATGTAGGAATGACAGTCCCACGTAGCCCAGAACACTGATAGCTGCACTGGCTCATTCAACACAGTGGAGATGGCCACTGCTGTCAGCCAGCAGGGCAGGACCACCCACTGGGCACCCGCAGCTGGTGCCAAGGGGCGAGCACGGGAGGGCTGTTCCCGGACAGGCCTGCCCCTCCTCCTACCCCTGCTCACCTTGTCAGCAGCTGTAGCAGGACCCTGTGTGACCGACAAAACCTCGCCCAGATGGAAAGTACAAGTAGGTACAGCTACTAGTGAACAGGGTGCTTTCAGAAAAGGAAGACGAATTTGATTTGTTTTTTGAGCATCCTTTTTTTTTTCTATGGATTTCACAAAAAGCCTGATGTAAGCGACATTCAGGGATGTCACCCTACAGTTCTTACATGGCTGAAATGATCTCTGTGTGGAAATCTGATCTGCAGAGAACAGATTTCTGGTCCCCTCGACAGCGCCTGCCTCGTGCAGGAACCAGCAGACTCTCTGTAGCATCACACCCCCCACAGCCAGGCACTTGCCATAGACACCCAGGCTGCGCGCTTTAGGTGTGCTGCTG